GATTTAAATCTCCAATTAAATATATGTGTATTTCAATGAAAATAGAACGTGTTTTAACAACGATAGGTGTAATTAGTAAAAAAAAAATTTGAAAACCAGAATTTAGTCCAGGATATGGTTTAGGGCTTATAATGTCAGAATCTCAAACGAGAGGTTTAAAGTCTAAATATAATTATTAAGCGTTTGAAGTCTTATGATCTAGTGATAATTATTCATATAACCCCAAGCAGTCATGTCCTCTGAAAACACAATCAGACTAATATACTGTAATAATCTCAATACATAGCCTCATAAATTGAAACTAGTGGTGCATTGAATTGATTTTAAAACAGCATTGTTTTATTAAATAGAGACAGGTGTGTAGTAGTGGAAAAACAATCATTCAGGTAAAGAAAATAATTAGGACTCATCCTTTGACCTACATTGAAGAAATGGTTAGAAAATGGATAAATAAAACAAACATGCAATGTACAAGGGAAAGACGTGCTGTCAAAGTAGTAAAGTCAGGAAGGGAAAAATTGCAAAACAAATTATATTAAACAAATGACTGCAATTGCTCTGCAATTAGGATTTTCTAGACCTAAAGGTTAGAAATGCTTTCCTTTAGCATGTACCAAGATGCAATGCAATTTATAATCAAATAACTCGAGTTCTCGGCTCAAAATCATAAGGCACAAACTTTTCTTAATAAACAAGTAGCCTATTAGGAAATGATAAGCAAAATTAAGATTTGTTGTCTAGTTCCACCTCTTGGCTGTGCAGTTTACATGGATTTGTGAAGTAGCCCACAGGAACTAAGATTGTTACTGTTGGCTAAAAATGATTAGCTGTCTTAGTATTTTATTTATATAAGAGTCATCGTGATGTTGAAAGTGATGTAAGATGTTCTACTTTATCCTGGCACCAGGGGAAATTCTAGGGCAGCACGTTCTGCAAGATGGAGCTGGTATTTAATACTTTTTTAATCTGACTTACAATTTCATGTAGGAATTACAATACAACTTGTTTCATCATATGTATACTGAGAGGCACTGAAAAGGCAGTAAATGTTATTGTTTCTCATTCACTTTTGTTGTGCTTCTGATACTTTTCATTATATTCTAAAAAACTTTTTTCTTAAGAGCAAAAATGACTCCTAGGAGTCATGGTTTGCTCCTATATTGCTTTTGTGGATTGACTTTGAGTTAGATCTTTTATTCTTTTTTGCTACCAAACTAAGCAAATGAAATGCAGCTCATTGTATTACAGTGCACATGAGAATTGTCACGATAACAACCCCTCCTCTTAAGGGCCCTCCAGCGTTTCCTCATTTGCATCACTCCCGCCTCCTGTTCCTTGTTTCTCCCCTATTCAGTTCGCCTTTATAAGCCAGGCGCTCACCTTACTCATGGCTCTGTATCTTATCCCCGCATCGTGCGAGCCCGAGACCTGGTTGCGCCTGGCTCCGTTATGTTTTTAACTTCCTGCTCCTGTCCTTTTTCCCCCCGCCGGTCCCGACCCGGCACCTGATTTTAATCTCCTGTTTGGACGGATTTCCCAGCCTTGGACCTTTTGCTTTCGTTTTTGGATTCCCCCTTTTGGATTTATTCTGGACTGTTCGCCTTGGCCACACCTCCCTGGATCACCAGCACTGTATGGACACGCCCCCCTGTTCATCCCTGTTCCTGCATGACTTTTCCCTAGTGTATACCTTCCTCACTATTCTGGATTGTGTCGTCCGCATAGGGTCCGGAAAGAACTGTTTGTTACAAGAATATTGTATCAGTGAATTCTTGTTTGAGAAATGCAGAAATTGTTAATGACGTGGGATTAGTCTCTTGATCTGTCTCAACCAGTGGATCCAAACTCTACTGGATCTGGTAAAGGGTCTCTGCAATGTCCTACACCACTCTGTCTAAAAACATACTGTGTCTCACCATATTGAGGGATGGTATATGATGATGTACACATTGAAGGACCCTCAAGATATCTGAGAAAATATTTCACAGGATCTTTCAAAAGAGACAGAGATCTACATCAAACAAAAAAATGTTTCCAGAAAGATCTTTGATAGCAAGCCTCGGACTAACCCAAAGAACATTTTCATAACTGGGAGTGAAAAGTAACAGAAAAAAACCCATCTGATTATAAATAAATAATTTAGCAATATAAGAAGGGGTTTTGTTTACAAAAGAGCCTCAGTAGCTCATCTTGTTTCCTGTAGCATTAGGAAGATTAGAGAGCAAGTGACTTTCTACCCCAGGTGGCACCCTGGTCCATTGTAATGTGTATCACCTAGCAATGCTGGTGCCCATTTATACAGCTGTTTGGATTGGAGCATCTGGGTAAAGTACCTCAAAGAATCTTGGACCCACAACCTGTCAGTTACGAGCCCAAATACTAACCCACTACCCTACACCGCCCCTTAGTCAATGATAACAAACACTGGGGTTTAGTTCAAATATATATTCTTCATGCAAGTTACCACAAAACACTCCACATTTATTACTGTGCCTCAAGATACTTACCATCACAAACTGGAAGAATGAAATGTATCATTATTGTTCATTTCCTGAAGTACACAATTTACTAACCCATCCTTTGAATTCAACATATTTACTGATTCTGTTGATACTGTGGTGAATACAAACTACTACTGTATTTGCAATGCAGTGCTTTTATGAATGTCAGGTCCATAAAATATACATTCTTTCTTATTCATGCTAAAGATTAAAATCCAGAAGAGCAGGAATCTTGCTGCCATGAGTGAAGACCTTGAATGTTAGATTTCTTTGGTAAGATCTCAGTTGTGCATTGAAGAGATCAGAGTTGATGAGGGCAGGCTTTTCAGTCACCCTTCATTTCAGCTTCAGAAGGTGTCGGCACAAAAATGATTGACCAGTGAAGTATTTAATCTTCTCCTGGGCATCTGCAGAGCAACATCAATCAGAAACTTGTTCAGAATTTAATAACTGTAGAAAGTGTCAGACGTATCAATCTCACATTTGTAGGTGGTTTTTGTAATATAAATGGATTGGAAGCTTACCTTCTTGCAAAAATAAATATTTTATACAGTACTTATTAAATGTCATATTAACTATTAGACTAAATACAACTGAAGGTTTCATCTACTGGCTTCTGGTAGAAATCAGTTCATTTTATTTTAAATGATATTGTTCAATGCTGTTTCATTCCAACTTTCTTCACCTGAAAATTTCATGTCCACACCCAGTTTAATGTCAGATTAAATGAAGAGAATGGAAGAATGAATGGATACAGATGGACTTTTACATCTTTTACAGTTCACATTGTGCTATATCTTTCTTCTATGCATGATATATTGTCCAATATCCCTTCTCAATTTTGATGTAAAAATGATTCCCAAAGTGCTAGTCATTGGTTAGTATTGTAATCTCTTATTGGCAACGGTCACAAAGGTGACATTATTCTACCATTTCTCTGTGACACATTGTATTATTTTTTTATTCTCAAGATTTCCTGGCAAGTTTGCATGTTACCATAATGAACATTATTTTGAATTAATAAGCAAAAGAAGTAAAAATGTTTTTCATTGACTTACTCTGCTTACACAACTGACAACAACTGGACTAGGGGCAGTTATTTAAAAAGTACTGCACTACAATATATGAAGGTACCCACAGCTGCACAATTAAAGAAATGTCTAAAGTCAATTACAATGTGGAGTAATAGTTATGTTTAAACTGTTGTTTCTAGATTGTTGATCTTTACTTTCAGTCATCTAGGAATTATATTACAGTTTGCAGTGCATGATTATTATTTTATACAGTCATAAAGTATTGTGTAAAAATGTATGTTGTATTACTTTACCTTTATTATAATTATAAAACATGTTATACTACTAAGAAATCAACAGTTTGAGGCTAGGCAGATGGAGGCCACGATAAAGTCCTGGCGTCCTGGACAAATTTCCCATTGGCCTTAACCAATCATGGCCTCCTAATAATCCCCATCTATGAATTGGCTTCATTACTCTGTTCTCCTCCCCACTGATAGCTGGTGTGTGGTGAGCGTTCTGGCGCACTATGGCTGCCGTCGCATCATCCAGGTGGGGCTGCACATTGGTGGTGGTGGAGGGGAGACCCCATTACCTGTAAAGCGCTTTGAGTGGAGTGTCCAGAAAAGCGCTATATAAGTGTAAGCAATTATTATTATTATTATTATTATAAAATGAAAGAGTTCCTTGCCATGACCAGTACAAACTATGAAGAGTACCTTAAGCCGTTAGGTTAAGGTTTAACAGAAAATAAAGAACACCCGTGAAACACTTTAACTCAGCAAAATTGTTTTCTTGGTGTCACTCTTTGAAAAAGTAGCTTTAAACTGCTGCAAGAACACAATTGACTAACAATTGACACTAACAAAGCACCAAAAAGGTTAGCTGAGGTGAAAAGCTTTGATGTTACCTAATTTAAAAAAAATAATAGTTCAGATTTGGAGTTCATTTCTTTAGTTTTTGTTTTTTATTGATTTGAATATTATTTGTATTATTAACAAAACTAGGCATACAGTACATTTGGCAGGGAAACAGCAACCAAATATTTGTGATGCAGCAGAAATTTACCTCCATCTTTTGGATCTTAAAATTAATGCAAACCTATATTTAAGTGAATGCTAGTTTTTATTTCTGTTCTCCAGATTTATACTATCTACTGCTTCTGGTTAGAAAATCAGGTGCAAATGTCTCATAAATGATTAGAAATAAGAAATGAATGTTTTGAAAGCCGGACCACAGACAGCCCTTGATGTTTCATATATTAAAATGCACTTGGAATGATTGGTTTTAAAATGTGCACAATGTAATAAAACATATAATTTTTATTTAATGTAAAATATTATTTGATATTAACATCTATTATTTCTAATTACATGACTGACTACAATGGGCGCATAAGATAATTATTAAAATTTAGGCACAATCCTAATTTATTTGACCAATAACATCAATGACCTATTTCTCCTCTGCACAAAAAATCAAAACATTCAGTTGTTAAATAATATAATTTATTCAATTTACATCACATATTTAACAATTTATATATTGACACCTCATAAATAAATAGAGATTTATGTAGTTTCTCACTTTCATGAAAAGCTACTTCTATTGGCACACTGGAAAACAGATCTATTGCATTGGAAACACACATATACAGTATGTGTCACAGACAAAAATATACATTGACATTTTTACAAGAAATAGTCACAAATACTTGCCTGTCTAACAACAGACATTACTATGATTTTTAGCTTTTATACAAGAGCAAAATAAGTGTGAAAAGGTTCACTTCTGAGCCTTCAAATTTGTGGACTTACCACATTACCTACCATTTGAGAATGTTAAAAATGTTATGTATCTGGTGCCTTTTGATTTGTATGTTTCTGTCATTAGAAGACTTACATTCAAATTCATGTATCACAATGTGCCTGATACGGTTCATTTTGCATAGTATCAGACAGTTCCCAGATGAATAGATTAAGGCGCTTAGTCAATTCTTAAACACACAGTATATTCAGATTTAACAATACCTACTGTAGCTCTGAAAAAGGTAAAGCAATAGATGACCCCCGGAAACACAAAACAAAATGCTGTATATGGAATACACAAGGTTCTAGCACCAAGAACTTTGAGACCTTCTATGAAAGGTTAGAACCTTGGGAATGTATTGTCCTTTTTGCTGTTTACACTACACACCAGTTAAGACAACAGTTGAGTAATTTTGATTTCTAAAACGTGATGCCTCAGACTGGCCTTATTATCCTGGTTTGAAGTTAAAATCTAGCTCGTTGACTGTAGAACCAACATTAGACTGCATTACCATTCCTTCATCCCAGCCTCAGGAGAAATGGTTTTGCCTGTGTCTTAACCACATGAACCACATGCTTCATTTCCCAACCTAACGTGTTATTGAAACAGCACCAATGACCAAACAAAACAATTTCTTCTCCAGACTAGATTCTTACACAGTTGCACGTTTTCTTACCTGTAGTCAGTAAATTTAAAAAATCAGATAGTCTTTATTTCTGTTTAAGTTTATAAATTGTATAAGAGAAAATCTCTCAGTAGTGCTTTCCTTGTGTTAAAACTACCCATACATACATTTCTGAAGTTTTCAAAAGCTAGACAGATTTAGACCAAACTTATTAGACATTCTAAATTATTTATTAAGAAGTGGTGCAGTATTATTTTGTTAATGTATAGCTAGAAAAATAATGGAAGAACATTCATGGCATTATTGATCATTAATGGTATTTATTAATACATTACTTATTTACTATTAAACACTTTGGGTTTGTAGTTCTGCCTTAAGTACAAAGGTATAGCTTTTGAGTGTACAGTGACACCATTTTATATAATTGTTTGAAAGATAAAATGAGTCAATAGTACTTGATGTCTATTGGCATACATTACAGAAGGTGAACTAACAATTACTGAAAGTAAATTAATTTAAGAAAATACATCATGAACTTGAAAGTAACTAAGAGATTTCAGATGCAGTATTACACACCCTAATTAATTTTGGGTTTTGTCAGAAAAAAATTTGTACGCTGTATTGCACAATCTGATTACAGTATTTTCAAAATAATTCTCACCAAAATATTGAATATTAATAATATATTAATAATAAATATATGAAATCAGAAGTATAAACATACCTATTGAAAGTTACTGCACCCTGTAGGATGGTGGATATAGTCTTCCTCTGGTTTAATATTGCACTAGTTTTCAACTCACAGCAAATCCCTTCAGCTCTCTTCTATGGATGCTGTTGTTCACATTATTAAATCTACTAATTAAGCTTCATATGCCTAGGTTTGTTTACAAATGCCTTTATATAGCAGCATTTAAAATGGAATATCCAGAAAAACAAAATATTTATATTTACCTTGGTGACGCCATTGCTCACTTTATTTATACACGTTCATCTGTTCTTTTTTTAATTCACACTCTGTCAAGACTTTCTAAAAAGCTCTGCAACGTCATTCGTCGTTTTCGTTGTTGGAAGTCTCAGGGCTCGTGTCCTCGTCACTGAGCGCTTCTTTGTTCGTGAATGTGCCTGCCAGAGTTGTACTGAGTCTGGGGTTCACCGAGGCTAACTCCGACAGCACGATATTGTCACTGTTCACCAGAGTGGTTTTGTCCATGTTCTCTTTACTGTGTCTCGCGACCACCGCTTCCAGGAAGTCATATTTTGGTGACAGCGTCCCGCTTTCGAAGAGGTACTTCATGAGATAGGAGAATACCACATTCCCGAGGAAAGAAGAGAGCATCGACATGGTCTTGAAGGGGAACTTTTGCACAATGAGTTGCTCTATCTCTCCCGTTAAAGGGTGCTCTTTCACCTGTGTATACCATCCCGGGTAATAAATAAAAGGTGGCAGTCTGAGGTAAGGTTCCCCCCCACTAATCCGGAGAATCAGGCCAAAGACGTATCCCGCCACAGAGCCGTATGTGTTGGTGCCCTTGACGAACAGCACGCTGATCAGCTGGGGGAAAATGATGACGTAGACGAGATCAGAACTCAGGTACCACAGGCCATAGACCGTCCCCGTCAGCAGTGCCATGGCAGTGGCGAGAGCCCCGAACACGAAGATCGTGATTCTCATCACCCACACAATCTCTCTGTCCGACGCCTGTGTGCGAAACAATGACAAAAAAGCAGACACGTGTGCACATCAGGATTGTTTTTCCAAGGTAGCTTCGTGTCATCCTCAATCCAGAATTGTACTGAAGGTTTTGGAGTACAGAAAAATAATATTACACTCCTCTCATTAATTTAAAAGGGTTGTTGAATGCTTTAACTCTGATAGTAACTAGTTGTTTTCAAATGAGACCAACACTACTGCCTGATAGATCTAGCTCTTCTTTGGGCTACTAGTCATGTGGGACTGAGTTTCTCTGTGCTCCCAATGTTTCCCAAATAGTTGTAGGAGAGGACTGTCCCCATCCAGCTGCGGTGTAAATGTTATTTCATATCTGGGGAGTTTGGTCCTACTACAACCAATTATAAGGAAGCACGGAGAAACAAAACCAAATGAACTCACTGGGCTGAATGACCTCCTCTCGTTTCTGACATTTCTGAACCAGGTCAGTGAGCTAATTGTCTTAAGTCTCAAGCACCAAGATGACTTGTCTTGTAATACTTATTTCCCCTCATGCAAGCCACCGAAAGAGTTCCCTGATGTCTGTAGTGTGTTAAGTAGGGTTTTACTTTGCAGCTGGTGGAATGACTCCTACCGTCTGTCGGAAGGCAAGCTGGTAGATGTTCCGAGCAAACATGGAGCTGGCTGACAGGATTGATGAGTCAGCAGATGACATCACAGCAGCCGACACAGCCCCCAGGCCAAAGAAAGAGATGTAAGGTGGACAGAGATGCTGCAGCACTATGGGCAGAATCATGTCAGACTCCTCTTTCTGCATGGGTTGCAAAGATCCATAGGTGGTTTGGTTCCAGTCTGTGATCACACAAGGAGAAACACTTCAGATCTCACTAGGAAAAATATGACTTGTAGACAAACATATGGCAGCTGCTGGGAAACATTGCCAAAAATGAGCCCTTTCTGTCATACTGTAGGTATCTGTAGGATTCAAACAAAAAAAATCCACTGGCAGTGCAAACAAAATCTATTATATTCAGAGGACAGGAGTGAACAAATCTGTAGGTGGGTTCAGATCTTAAATTCCTAATCTCTGCCCCTTCCAAACACCTAACAACACAATGTAAAACAACAAATTAAACCTTGATAACTTTTTAATTGTGTTTTAAATTACAAAATCTTTTTATATGCTGTTTTGTGCTCTGCCAACACTTGGCATAACCCATGAATATGTTACACTATCAGCCCACAGTTGCTCTAATGAGTTGTGTCTTTGATGTAGAAATCTCAACACCAGCTCAATTAATTAAATGGCTTCAGATGTAATATTTTCAGAATGCATATTGCAGACTGTATTGCCTTCAATAATGGATGACACCAGCCATCTGTTGTGATGTGTTATCCTGTATCTGCTGTATTTCCAATATGTTAGTTGGGAATCTTACATGAGCCGGAATCACGTCTGAGATCTGATTTGAACAGATTTGGAAATGAAAGTTTACAATGTGGAAGCAGACTAGCTCATGTCCAATAAACCATTATAAGAAAGCACAATGGGTAACATCTGAAAATGCATTAACTGTGAACAGTAGTGCAATCACAGAATATTGTCCTCTCAGTGACTTGACATACCTAAGTGTCATATTTCAGCAAATATACTGAAAATTGTACTAACCTTTTTTAATTATAAAATATAATACAATACTATTTTATGAACCAACAGATTCAGAAAATCTTTTTTTTTGTTTGTGATTATAGGGTGAATAATTGGTTTACAATTTCAGTTTCTCTATTTGGTGTGAACATTTTTGCTGACATTCAGAATTTTCTCAGAGTTGTAAGAAAATAAAACAGTTGTATGAAATGGCCGTTCCATTGATTTCCTGACCAAACAAAGTTACAGAACACTGGAGGAACTGAGCAATTTGCAACCGTGAACACCTCACTGTAGATGTAGATGTTTAGTGATCTACTACCACTGTATCCTTAACAGCTAGCCATACATTTTGTGCAGGAGAGGAACAGAAGGTCTGATGTTCATTCACATAGTACAATGTTCTACAGGAGAGCACTGTGTTGCCTGTAACAACACGTTAACTGGCGTCCCATGCTATTCTCATTTCTGATCAGCTGCCTTGTACTTTTGAGGTGATCCTCATAGAAGAAATGTAACTGCCAATCATTATTATTCATAGTCCGTATGGGAAAGGTTAAGTATAAGCAATAATAGTGACGTACTGTACTTACACTGACCCCAGGAGCCACAGGAACTATACCGTGGCAAGATTTTCCTGGATAACTCAGCCCCAGCCAGACCAGGTGGCTATCAGCCAATTGTACATTGCAGCTTTAGAAATCCCAGCTACAGTCAGCCAATTTTCTCAGCCCAGACTAAACAGGCTATGTCTGGACTATTGAACTCATCCCGTGTTTCATACAAGTGCCTTGGTTGGATAACCCTCTTGGGACCCTTGTCTACCTGGCACGTAAGTACCTAGGATTACACAGAGCTCCTTATAACAGCAAGAGACAGGCTGAGGCATATGGGAGATTCTGTAAAAAAGAACGTACATGTGGAAGCAGGAGCTAATAAATGAATGTAATAAATGTAGGTTAATGCTTCTACAAAGCTGAAGCTTATGACAAAAACAGCAGTGGTGGTGCTCATGACGGTGGAGACAGTGAGCGTCGGGTTTACCTGTGGAGGCCCCTATGGCCCCTATAAGGACCGAAGGCACGGCCATGACTAGGCAGCCGAAAGCAGCCAGGAAGGAGAGGACTTGAGCGTAGGTAGCTGAAGAGGCAGAAAGAACCCGTTGAAAATACACCTGCCAGGGAATCCCTCCTAACATCTAGAAAGAGAACGCCATTGTAAAGACAGAGGCGGCCCAGGAAAACAGAACACTTCATTCAGTGGGCTACTAGTTGTCAATAGGGGTCAACAGCCCATCTGTTTCTTAAAGGCTGCTAGTTCATGCATTGTAATACATCAGATCCCTCTTGGCTTTGCACTCAGATTCATTCTTTGTTAGTCTGATCCAGTACTTTGAAACAAAACATGCAAGTGAGTCAGAAAGCATGCTATTTCTATGCCACTTGGAGGGAATGGGGGAGATTAGGCTTTGACCTCCTCCTGACCTTTTCTTTTTGCAGCTCCCAAAAGAACCAAGGGAGACCCTGTAACTCTAATGCAGAATTTCTCAGTTATGAAGAGTAAAATAGAATATGAACAAGGATGTGGTTTAGTAGACTGCATAAAGAAAGCGCAAATTAAAAGGTCTGATGAAAGCGTAAGTTTCATTCCCCATTGAAGCAGTGAAAGAGGTGTTTGTGAGAAGCCCAGTGGGCTCGGGGAGATGGAAGGCAGGACACTGAGTGACAACAGCAGACGCTGTGGGGACAGGATGAAAGTTGTAGTTTTCAGAGAAGGAGAAATGGTTGAGAAGAGCATGAAGTGGGTTAAGGGGCAACAGGGGATTGGTGGAGTTCCAGAGGAGTTTGGGGTTTTGGAGTCTCGAAGTTTGCCGAGGAGGTGGCAGGAGTGCAGGGGCTTGGTTTTCTGCAGTAGAAGAAGACCACAGAAAACCGGCATGTCTCTCAGTGAGCCTCGGATGCTATCATGCAAAACAAAAATCACCGCAAAATGAAATGCACTTGAGATGTAATGAAGCCCTTGAGAATCCAATAAAAGATGTGGAAGCTTTCATCATGTACATTATATACATAATGTTTTAACTTTTAGACAAACTAAACATGATAAAACAAAGAACAAAGCAAACACAGAGGAAAGGGTGCAGAAAAAGAAGGAATCTGGTATTTTAAAGGACTTCAATCACTTTGCTAAACCAATAGACCATATAAAGATATTACAGTACATCACCTTCTGTTTTGTTCTAGGGCACAGTACTAAAACTGTGTCTGCAACCAACCAAACAACATATCTCACAAAATAATTCACTATTCATCAATAGTTAAATGCAGCTAACTTCATTTCTATTAATATACCTCTGTAAATTGTGATTTTATACTTGTTTTTTTAAATGAATGAATGAAGAAGAAGAGATGTATACCAGTAAGCAGAAGTTGTCAAGCCACATCCAAATATCAGAGGGATTGATGGTGCCCAGCCATGGATCCTGATAAACATCGGTCACAGCCGTGATGCCGATGTCCTTCACAGCTGGGTTTAACATTGCAAAAGGTACGCTCACCCACTGCAACATTCAAACAAATCTGAAGTTTACAGACTGTACACAATTGCATTGATTAAAAAAATGGTTTCCACCCACTTTAGCTAATTGCCAGTTCCTTCGACTGCAAGTAGCATGAACTCTTTCCTGTTTAAGGATCTGTCACATTGCGCATTTTGATTGGCTCGTTCATCCACTGAGATGCTGATAACAGACATAACCTTTGCGGAATCATTTCAGACTTCTGAACCAGTTTTTTTTCATTCGCTGATGGTTGGAGCTCTGTACTCCTCTAACTGCTTTTGTCTTTGTTCCTTTGTGTCTGCTCAGATACAGCTGTTGCAATGGCAAAGGGAAGATAAACCATCAGTGACCAATAAATGTTAACAAGTCAAGCACACGGGGCATTTTTTTCATGGTTTAGTCCTTGTCCAAATTAGTATATTAAATATAAATTTTCCCTTTTCCAAACTTCCACCCAAGTTTGAAAGGACAAAACCAAATCAAATTAGCTTATTTGTGGCATACCATATTTTACTGGTGGGACTAATTTAGGTGTGTTCAGGCCTGGTACTGGAGGGGAGAGGGTGTTACCAGGTTTTTCAGGATCTCTTTAAAGCAGCAGCACTAGAAGAGCTGGCACATTTTGTTCAATTGTTTCAGTTAAGCCACTAGTCAGCTGTTTTAGCTCATGAAAGCTGAGTTAGAATGCAAATACACATTCGCACTGGATCTCTGGAATCAGGATGGCTCAATCCTTGTGTAACAGCAACCAAGAAATATCTCTTTTGTGTAGCTGAGTAATATCTCAGATACCTTTGAACCACACTTTGCTGCATTCATTTGCAGAAATTGTTCTTACAGAGTAGAATACAGTTGGACTGTGTTGTCCCACTGCAAAAATACAGGCAGATGCATTTTTTCCAGTAGAAGAATCTGTTCAATTAACCCCCATTTTGTTTCATTAGTTGTGCTCGTGTTCCAAAAAATACAGGAGTATTAATAAAAAGTAGTGTTAATAAAATACAGGAGGACCAACCTAACAGGAGGAGGTAAAATTTAAATGCGATCAAACACGATTCGAAGACAATTTCCTTCTAAACTCTGGCCACAAGCACAAGCGGATGAGAAAACAATGTCTCTGCCTCCAGCCCTCTGCTGGAACTCTGCCACTGCGCAATTTTTAAACACTGCAAGAAGCTGAGACCTGTTCTTAAAGAACCCACGCGTCTGTGCAATCTTACAAACAACAATAAATGAAACCCAGTTTAGTTGGGAGTTTAGCTCTTCTTGTTAACAGGGATTATAATTCTGGGGTGAGCGGCGTGAGGCTGTCATCTCCTGTTTCCGCGTTTCGCTCGTCTAGCCCTGTTCCCGGAGCAAGTGTGTGTAGTAGCACTTCTCCTCTGTGAACGTACCAGTCCCAGAAAGATACAGAAGAGCTGCACCACGTCGGTGTAGGCCACGGAGTACAGCCCCCCCACCAGGGTGTAGAAGATGGCAATGAGAGCCGAGATGATGACTGACATGTTGATATTGATGTCCACGATGACGCTCAGAGTGGCACCTGGGGGAGCAGAGGGCACTGTGTTATTGACCGGCCTCGGGCTCAGAGACATTTAAAGAAAAGATGTTTTCGGTGTTTTGAGGTTCTATTCTGTGTGTAAAACTCAAAGACATATATCCTGTTTCACTCCGGGGAAACGTAAACCTAATCCAGTCAGCACATACAGCTCCCTTGAGAGTCCTGGGGTGTCCTGGTGCCCTTCCTCCCAAGCTCTTAACAAGCTCTTAAGCTCATCTGTTCAATCATTGTTGCGAGGTATTGAACAGTTTTAACCCAGTTTCCAGTTGTAGGGGTGTATCAATTTAAAGACACTGAGGAAAGTACTGGTAGGTGGTCCTAGATGACTGAGGTGGAAGAAGGCTGACATACAGAAATAGAACAGGCTCTAAATACACTTCCTAGTCTACGATGTGCACCACCCTTATATCACATTATGTCTCATCTTTTGTTCAGTAGAGATCTGTGAATCACTACATAGTAAAAGGCTATAAAATAATTCTGTTTTAAAAAAACACGATGTAAGTAACATATATTTTACACTTTCCAATAAGAAACAAACAAGAAAAAGCATAAACAAAGAGCGGGTGGAAACAAAAATTCACAACTGGGGGAAATGAGCACCGTGTCCTCGTGGAGGACAGCAATGAGAGGCGAGGCGAGATCTACCCTGGCGTACTGTACCTAGCGCGGAGAGAATGGCCGCTGACCAGAATATCTCCCCCATGAGCGCGGGGATGAAGAGGAGCCCCCCCATCCGTTTACCGTACATCTGCTGGAAGGGGTCCAGCATTGTGACGTAACCCTTAGAGCGCATGGGCTTCGCGAAAAACAGACCTCCTGCAGGCGACAGACAAGACAAGCACACAGATGCGCTCTGCAATCCAGTTTCTGCAAAACCGGCTTTTTACATACCAGCACGCTTTTAAAGGCAGAAAAGTTCGTTTCTTCGATATGTGCGAGCTTTATTGATTGCATTACAATACTTTACAAGATTTACAAATAATAATTCACGTCTCTTCCAGATCGCACGCACATACAGTACAGTACAGACCGCTAGTAGAAGTATTTTATATTTGGCGCACATACAATAATGCATAAACCTACCATATTCTCTTTCCATATTAGATATATATTAGCAACTGACATCGCCTAAACAGTTAAGACTGGATCTCAAACACGCTGTATTATGGTTAGATATAAAGGAAATGCCCTTTTGGACATATTGTTTAGTACAAGGTGAACTTCTTTAATTTAATACTTTGTTTTCTAAACAAATAATCGTATTTTTGTATGGAAAAAAACTATGATCTAATGTTCCGCAATTACAATGGTGTGCGAGTGTGAGATGTATTAACAGGTGTTTGTCTAAAATGGGACTTCTGTGTCGAAGAAATTCCATTATTAGGATCACCAGCGATACGCCACTAATGTCCTTAGCATTCACTGTTCTAATTCTACCTGTTTTAGTTGAACAGACACAGGACCTCAGCAAACTAGAAGAGGAAATGCAGCTCATACCCACGACCAAGCTGAGAGCGTATCCGAAGGGAGCTTGCGCCCAGGCTAACCCGTACCCAGGTAAATAAACATATTCAGCGGTGCCGTTGATGTAGCCACCTCCAACCCAAGTCGCTGAAAAAATAGGTGTTTTGATTTTATATTCACAATTGCACACGTCATTAACGGCAAAACAGATAAAAAAAACTAAGCCTGCAAACTTTTAACTGCGAGTGTAGCTATATTAAAGGAAGTTTCATGAGAGAACAGAACACTCTACAGAGGGGTATTCTTTAGAAATAAACATAGTTTAATACTAGTTTTATGTAAATATTCACTCGCCAGGTTAGGAACACAAACCGATGTTATTGTTTGTTCCAAAATTGCAAGTGGTGCAGATTAGGCCACATTTGGAATATTCCACATTTTCATGTACAGTTATATCAAAATTGATTCCACAGTCATTTTTAAGATGGGCATGCATACAGTATATGAAAGCGTTTATTTGAGCTTTTTACTCATCATTGCATTAGCATTTTGTCACAGAAAGGGAAAAATCCTAAACTGGAAATAAATCACAAATACCAAGGAGTGCAATATTGAATTCCTCAGTCGCTTCAATTTCCTTGCATTGTGGGTTTTTTGTTTTGTTATACAGTAAACCGCATATAAAATTTAAAAGCTCAAGAAGAATGTAATTATAACATCTGATCTCACTCCAACTGTTGCTATCCAGTGAGTTTAAACTGATTTTTTCAAACCACGTCGTCATACATTGGAATAAAAAAAAAACAAGATCACTTGGAATGAATGACTGAACGAGTTAATGAATCACAAATTGATGCTTCGCGTGTTTTCCCAGCATTTGGCTGGAAAAGCCAAATCATTGGTTGTATTTTGCTATTGACTCTCTCTCTCAGAGAGGTTTAAACTTTTACCAAAGGCCTTTTAACCACCTTGCACAAAAAGTGAAAAGTAAAAAACAAATTTAAGCAAAGAGAGAGAAAAAAAAGAGAAGCCCTAGCTAAGGCAAACCTGAAAGCGCAGCGACGGAATAGCCCGTGTACCATTTCCTCGCTTACCAGTCATAGTAAATCCGCCGACGAATAATCCTATATCTCTCCCGCCGACCATGATGGACTCACTGCGGTCTATTCCTCCCGCCATCCCCGAGTTCTTATTTTTCCACGCAGCCCATATCCCCACGAAAAGAATGAGCAGGTAGAAAAGAATGATCGCCACCAGCCCCTCCACGTGGATAGCCATCTTCTAGCTGCCGGGATCTTGCTCCGCCGGAGGAGCGGCGTCTCATGGAGAACTGCAGAGAAGCGCGAATAATGTCGTCGGCATGTTTCTTTTTCCAAAACGAAAAATTATTTATATTGATCTACAGATACATTGCAGAATTCCCTAATATCGTGAAGCATGTACATGTACTTGATTTGCTTGCCTATCATTTCACAATTAGGTAAACATGTTTAAAATATTGAATTGTAGTACGAATTTTTGAAGATTGGAGGCTACTCTCTTAAATTAATCTCATTAATTTAATAAAAAAATTAATAAAAAAGATGTATTAGCCCATTTATTTTTTTGCACATTTTGCACATTTATTTTGCAACAATTAAGCTTGATTTGCTGCTTAAGTTCAAGAGCTTTCCGAGGATGCTCGAAAGGTGTTAACAACACGGTATTGTAACAATGTGCCAGAACATGCAGTTCAAGGAAAATGAATGAAACGATTTATCATTTATGTTTTCAATTTCCAACTCGAGGAGCGCAAATGAGTACACCTTTCGCTATTTTGAATCAGAAAAATCTACACTGTATATGGGGAAGCGGAAAGAGAGTTCCTCCGCGCGTAACATCTGAAAGTGAATGAAGTCCAATCGTATAGGCGATCCAAGCGCAATGGAAGCAAGCGCATAGAGAAACATGTTTTGGGAAAACAGCTAGATGCCTACTTTTTATCTAGCCTTGATCCAGTTCCATGAAACAAGCACATTTTGAGCGGTGAATTACTTTTCGCTTTTAAGTTTTAAAACTTCGTGTTCAAACTAGTTGCAACCCGTGTGCTTTAAGACAGAACGGAATGACGACATCTATTCATGAGAAAAATAAAACGTTATTCCAGCGATATTTCTCCTCCGTTTGGAGGGATGTTCCTACCTTTGATTTCTTGGATTGATGCCGGACAATGCAGAACCTCATAAATGGATGAAGCGCAGATATGCTAAAACCAATGCCGCGGGTGTTCGGTACGTGAAGGCAGTCTGATAAAACACTTTATTCCTTCGGACCGTGCGTAATTTCCCCCCTCTAAGAAGTCTTATAAAGGACTAATTTTCGTCAGGGGGTCTGAGGCTGACGAACGTCAGAGAGATGTGAATGGAGCTCAGTTTATGAATAAGGATGTCAGTTTGTGCAAATGAGGAGAATGTTTCTGAAGGTCTTTCAGGGGGTGTACAAAAATAGCAGACTGGGTTAATTGAAAATAGCATGACGCATCATACAGAGGGAGATTTCCTTAAATCAGACTCCTTCATTTTCTCTGATACTTGGGTGGTTTGTATTCCACACATGCTGTGTAATGTATTGTGGTAGTTGCTGTTGTTAAAGATAAATGTAGGCTATTACAATAGGTAGTGTTAAAAAATAAATTTAGGCTGTTATAATTGGGAACGTTTTGATGTAAATTTGCTGTGCGTTGTATTAATTTATTGCACTGTTTTGTTTTTGTCCCGAAGGTTAAAATAAATCGGCAAACAAGCATGTAGAGCGTTTTTCTTCACCTTATATTAACTGCAGTAATTTTAAATACTGTTTTCAATTTTAACACTGTTTTCAATTTCTCCATCGAGTTATTAAAGATCGGGGAAAATGATTATTTTACCACCGGAATATCGATATTTTTAAAGGTGCAGAAAGTGTGAGTAAGCAAGTGTGATTATACTTTGCACTTTGCACTTTGTTGATCGTGTTTCAGTAACTATTACACCAATAGCGGCAATAACTAAAAAGTGATTTCAGCAAAGGCTGATATATTACCATCTGCACAAAGACGACATGCTTCAAAGAAGATTGCAACAAGAGGGTTTCTATGCGAGAGCAGCTAATTTTCGAATTGTGCAAACAGCAAAATAAAAAAAAACTGAAAAATATTTTCACTTTATAATCTTGCATGTGGAAAAAAATAATCCAGGCTTCATCTGAGCAATGAAGCTCCGACAAGTTAAAACTGTAAAGGACACAGTGAGTTTTGGACAGTGTTCTCTTCACAAAACTGTCCATGGTGCTGATTGAACAAGTCGTTACTGCAGTCTGCTTATTTAGCGCCTGTGTCACGGCCTGCCGCTGTTTCACTTCGGTTATTACGTTTTACCTTGCAAGGGTTTTTTAACAACAAAATCTTTTAGAACAGTAACTAAAAATAACGTCGTATTGCAGACTCGTTTTCTTTTTTAACTAGAAGTAGACATTTTTAAATCACATCTTTTTTCAAATCGATATTCTTTTTATTTCATAGTTTATTTAGATGTTATGCACTCCGCTCAATTTACGTCTCGAAATGTCTATAACAGCTACGAAACGCAGTTAAGTTTTAGAGTTTTTACACGAGTAGTTGTTTTCAAAATGACATAGTTTGCTTAACATAAGCTTGTAGAGAAAAATATCATTTCTTTCCTCTGCTAGTTCATTTGCCATATGATTTCCGAGTTTCTCCACTACAGTAGTTCTCACATCTAGCTCCAGAGCGACCAGTGTGCGGGTTTTTGTTTTTGCTGAGGTCTTATACCATCGAGTTAATTGATGCCATTAATTGATCTGCTTGTTCGTTTAGCTATTTCAGCACTCTGGTTCCTGGTTTCAGAAACAAACTATTTCAAGTGTAGTTTCCAACAGCTTCAGCGTACAGACTATTAAGCTGTCTCTCTTTAACTATCTTTTAATACTTTATTTCCTTATTTCTGAAGAGCTGTAAGATAACACAGTGGTTAGCATTGCTGCCTGGCAGTGTTGGGGCCCTGGTTCAATTCCTGTGGTGCTGTTTGTGTGGAGTTTGTACTGTATGTTATTCAGGTATTTTTGTGTGGGTTTTCATCAGGTGCTACAATTTCCTCCCATAGCCAGAAGACAAACTGGTAGGTTAACTGGCTTCCTGGAAGATTGGCCCTAGTATGAGTGTGTTTGTGTCTGTGTGTGCCCAGGGATGGACTGGTGTCTTATCCAGGTATATCTTGCCTTGTGCCTGTTACTTGCTGGAATAGGCTCTAACTCCCCTGTGACCCTGAATTAGATGAAGCAGTTAGAAAATGGATAGATGTCTAACTAAACAGGTCTTAATAGTTGATCAATTTATGATGAACAGGCAAAGGTGGGAATGACACCGTATGAGGTAACACACCTGAATTAGAGGAGCTGTGAACCTCAGAGTTCGCTGTGGGGTTAATATAAATTAACAGCCTCTACCAACCTACAGTATACTCCAAAAAACTAACTGAAAGGAAGCCGCTATTGTACTGCATTAAACAAAGCACAGTGAACAGCAAGAACAGAGCTGCACAATTAGTATAAAAAAACAAGAAAAGAGAGATATATGATTCAAATCTAGGAGTACAACACACCCTTCTCCACCAATAAAAAACCTTATAATTTAAAATGTGTGTGTTCCAGTAACTTTGGGAAAAAGCAAGGTTACTAAAAGTAGATAAATGGACAAGAAAAAATAAATATAAACCACAGGCCTGTTGATGTAACTGATACTACTGCAGGGCTACAGAAGAGTTAATGACTAAGCGCAAGAGGTTAGAATACAACTAGTATTTTTTCTTCTCTTGTAAAAACAAGTACTGAAGGCCCTTAACCAAACACTCGTGTTTGTTTAGCTCCTGCTAGGGGCATTACCAAAGAAACCATGCACAGGAAATTCCCCCTGGGGTCTGGAATGCTACAGTAAACTTTGGCATCCAGTACAAATATTTGCCCCTCTGGGAACAAACCTCTTCACTCTGGCCTTGATCATTTTTGTCACGCTGACTGCGGCAGATGCCACATGTCTCCAGTCTCTCTTTTCATGTGTTTTGAAGATTACTCCCGACTCCGCAGGTCGCTAAATAATTCATTCCGTCTTAATGATTTTTGTCTAATGCTTTGCAATTAGAAGCAGCCCTGCCAAGTTATTTCCAAAATCACCGAAGCAAACTTTTATAGCCCCTGAGCAGATTGCGTGAAGTGTCTGCTTTTGATACATTAAGCGCTTGTTTTATAGAGCAAAATCACACAGTCTGATTTAAGTATCGGTATATGCAATACAGAAATAAGAATGGGAGAATTCTCATTTTATCCACTTATCCACCATTCCCTTGCAATTTATGCAACGATAGCAATCAGCTTGACAGTTGGCAGACTGCTACTGTTGTATACACTGCAGGCTTATTAGTCCATCTCCATTATATTTTAGGTAAAAATAGACAACAGTGAAATCCAATTAAGATCAAAATTCAATCCAATTTCAAAATCCAATGCCCATAACATTGTTAGGGTTGTTTGCAGTTTATGGGTAGTTTCCAAACGACAGTATATTATCATCACACTAAACAAAATATTTTTTGCCACAATCAGATCACCTTTTAGGGTTTTCGAGTCCGTGAAACAGAAACCAGAGAAGGACTTGTATGAGATTTAATTTTTTCATGTTTAGCAAAGCAAAGGCTTGTCAAGGCTTCAATTCTCATTTCCCACAATGTTTATATGATTCTGCAGTTTTGTTCAGGTAATAAAAATAGGTGTAGCAAGAAAGAATCGCAAATGTCCAAAGAAAGAGAGTGCACAAACTCTGTGATGGAGAAGGAGTACAGTGTCCAAAAGGCCTAACGGTACTGGATGGGAACTGAGCGATGTTCCCTCTAATTTTTAATGAAACTGTGTGTGCACAAATTTCAAGTTGTGCAAATGTATTCCCCAGTGACAAAAAATAGTGCGCACTAAACTGAGTGTATATAAAATTGTAAACCTGAAATTATTTTTTGTTAGTATAGTCATTCTAATAGAAGAATAGAAATGCAAAAGACCGGGACAGCGGTTTAACGAGCCCAGTCATAGAGACTGTGTCGAGCGAGCATGAGCAATCTTTGCTGGTTTTTATTATTTTGAATGACAATTTTCCAAATGTATTTTTATGGGAATAAAAGGCCAGTGTGGTGGCACAGTGGTTAGTATTGCAGTCTTGTGGTGCTGGGGCCTTGGGTTCAATTCTAGACCTGGGGTGCTATCTGTGTGGAGTTTGTATGTTCTCCCTGTGCTCATGTAGGTTTCTTCTGGGTGCTCTGGTTTCCTCACACAGTTTTAAGACACATTGGCACTGTAGGTTAGCTGCTTCTGGGAAAATTGGGGTTTGTGTGTGTTTGTCTCATCCAGGAACCCTGCCCACTGCGAGCCTATACTGGATAAAGCCTTAGAAAATGGATGGATTGCTGTACATAAAATATTCTCATTCTTCTGTCCCACACCAGTGTTTTTTACAGTGTTTGTCCACACCAGCATTTTCTAGATTGTTCACCTGTTTTTCAAAATAAAAACAAGCACCACGTATTGCTCTTGAAAAAATGTTTTGAGAAATCTTCTGAAAGTCTGAACCGAATTGAACAGTTTCATTTTAATCAAATGAAGTAATTTGTAATTATTAGATTTTAATTGAGCAGGATCAAAAACACTGGAATTAGGAAAATAACAGTAAGAAGAGAAGAGCAAAGAAGGGCAGGATAAATAGAAAATACACTATATACCTGCATACCTAGTTTCTTTTTAGAACCTGTGTGCATGGTGGTGATTTTCCAAGATGTTAGTGAGGTTATTCTTCACAAAAATAATAAAAAAATATTTATTGATATTATAAATGTGGAAGAGCAATGGAGAGCAGTCAAACCATCTTCTACCTCTGGAATGATATTGTAAGATCAATCATAGTACAGTACCTGCCTGAAATCCTAATTCAGTGAGTAATGCCACATTCATTAACTAATCTCCTAATGACTGTGTGCTTACGAGCGCCTGCCTGTGAAGCTTTGAAGCAGAGCACAGAAGGTATCTACTGTGCTTACACTCCTTCATTTGATGATAATTATCTTTGATTGTTAATTATTCATACCTTACATGAACAAGTTAACCTTGTGTACACTACTAATGTGGCTTCAATTCTCCGTTTCGTTTCTTAAGCTTTTTTGAAGGTGGCTTAATAGAGCAGCTCCATTTTCACTGAGGAGGAATTAAGTTCACTGTGTAATTTTAACAAACCATCATGTGGAACACATGACAGGTCTGAAAGATCGCGGCTGTCGCGCTTCGGCAGCTAAGCTTTGGAAATATTTGCAAAGTTGAAGGCAAACAACTCAACCAGGATAGAAAAAGTTAATAGTTTTTTTCTTTAGGTCTTTTAAATTTAGGCAATTTTCCTACATACTGTACTTGCATTGAATTAGCCCTTCAAACAAGAAATATAATAGCCTGACTCCACACTTCTAATATAAATTTGTTCACAGATGATCGTTTTCAGGTTTGTAGTCTGTCTGGTACAGTGCTGCTATTATCATTTGGCTGTGATGATCTGGCAAAACATATTTCTTAGCAGGTCACTGAAAATACGAAACCTGAATTGTCTTTGCTAGGCAGCATGTTTATTTACACATTGGATAAATGTTCACAGCAGCCTTTTCAGAAACTGTTTTTTCTCTCCTGATCATTCTGCAGATGGTGTCCCTTCCTGTTTTAAAGACATCTCAGAAATGTTTGAGGGGTGGCCATTCCTGGTCCTGGGGATGTTGCCTGTTGGTTTTCATTGCTGAGCTCTTGACTTCAATGAGTCCATAACTGAACCTACTAGTTGTTTGGTTGGAACATCTGCAATTTCATTCTACACATAGATTATATTAAGTTACTTAAATATAATACTGTACTTAAAAGGCAACCTGCTGCATGTTTTGAAAACAACTCTATTAAAGTGATCAGATTAAATCTATTAGATCTATTAAGGGTGAAATTATTAAATGGAGTACTCAGATGGAACACACCATACAGTATACAGTAATACTGCAAGTCCATTATAACAGAGAATGGACGCAACTCAAAACACTCACTTTGTTAAAAGGTAGTTAAGTAGAAATGTCTCTCAAAAGAGAGTGACAAGTAATAGTAACAAGAAAGTAACTTGTCATTAATTATTCAGACCCAGGAAGTAACAGATCAATGATAACTTTTATGGCCAGTATAAACCTTTTCAAACCCAAGGATGCTGTACGTTCATGTAATGATAAAGACATACATGATAGAATCAGACACATGCCCTAATTATTTCATTAACAGCATAATCACTAATACTTCTGATCACTCTTGAAGGTATTTTATAATAAACCGCACTTTTACTAAAATTCTTTTGTTCAATAATATATAAAGGTGAGTTTTCAGTTTGTGGGGTCATTTTTTAAAAAACTCACAGGACAGCAGATTCTTCTGAAACAAATGTCTTTTTTGAAGGTCTACACTAGCTGACAGACTTAGCAGAATACTACCATTTCCACCTCTGTTCATTCTACTATACAACCACTAACATTCACAAAAGTAAGCAGGCTGGCAGACACACCTTAAACATGTCTTGTCAATTAGCTATTCCAGGTGAAAGTGCTTTTCCACTAATTACCTACAGTACCGTCCAATTCATTCAATTACTCAGCTGCTGCTTTCCAAGTCTTTAAAGAGACTCATTAGTGCCCTCAAGTGGCATTCTTGTTTTCCTTACACCCAGATACTTAGGTAATTGGCAGCAGAGCTATTAAAAATTAAAACCTGATGAGCTCCTGTAATATTTTGAGTTTTTCTTTGTGTGTGAGCTTTCATATTTGATGTGAACGTGTGTTATTAACCATGAACCTTGGATCGTCATTATCTAGAGACATTGTCGGTCTTTTCACTGTGATGACCATATCTCATAAGTGACTCCTAGTCCTTGGGCCACAGCTCCACTGAACAGTTGTTAAATGCAGAGATCTCAAAGGACCTGCAAGGGGATTAAACTTGTGACCCTGAGGCCCTTGTCACCATTAAATCACAGCGCTAATACACCGAGTCAGTAGTTCATATTCCACAACATACAGCTGTACAGTTTATCGCTCTGGGAGTGGGCAGGAGAGCGTGTCAGAGCTCTCAATTACACAGCTGGTCTAATTATTTCATTAACAGCATAATCACTAATACTTCTGATCACTCTTGAAGGCATTTTATAATAAATGGTACTTTTACTTAAATCCTTTTGTTCAATAATCTGTGTATTTACAATAAATTGTGAAAGACCTTCAGAAAAATCCTATATGTTTAATTAAAACTAATTAGGTTGTGTTTAATTGGCTAATTAGGTTGGACTAAAAACAAAAAGAGATTAGGCCATCTGGGAACTGGCAATATTTTTATTTCTTCATGAGTCTGAAATTCAGTCAGCTGTTACAGTAACTGGCCTGCCCAACTCTTCTCTCTGCATTGTTTCCAAACAATTGTGTGCACTTTCCAAGTCTCCTCCGGTCATGGATATTGAAAAAAGATTGGCTCCAATCTGGAGAGCTGATCTTTGTTCAATATACATGAACCCTCAGTAGTCAAAAAACCTAGATAAGGTGGGAACAAACTTTTATTATTTCTCAGAAATAGAATTGACAGCTGACAACTGTTAACCAGCCAGGTGGTGAAGTGCAGTATTATGCCACAAATGTGTCAATAAAAAAACAAACCCACAGTCATCTTCTGTGTACAAATCTCTGTTCTGAAAAGTAAAATTGTCTGGTTTTAGCTTCAGGCAACAAAAATGATATTAAAACATGATATAAGGCTGAAATGGGTGGAAGAGAAGCATAACGCTAATGAGTTAGATTAACATACAGTAAATCACAAAGATTCTCAAATGGCTAAATGCTAGCACTTGCTGATTTTCCTAAATGAGAATCCTTCTAGCTTTATGTACTGTAGTACACTTTGTTTTTCATGAAATTAAAGGCCTCTTCTGATCCCTTGCGCTACAGATAAATGTTGGTGCATGGTGTAACCCAGTGGTGGGATATGGTACTGTAGTTTCTATCCTTGGTCTGGAGAAAGAAATTCCTGGAAGCATATTTTGAGTGAGAAGAAGATTTGCTTGTTTCATAAACTGCTATTGTACAGTATGGAATCATGGCTTAATAGATTTTCATTTTGTGTCTTAACCTAGCCTCTAAATGCATTTATTCCCATTACAGTATATAAAATGTTTCACTAAACATTCTCTAGAAACCCTTTCAGAAAAGTAGTTTGTATTTCACACTGCAGCCCAGTATTGGATAAAGTGGTTAGAAACTTGAAAATGAAAAACCCTAAAAATGACAGTCCAGTGGTCAGCAAACAATTTTCTTCCTGATGTGTAAATATCAACACTCTCTGCTTACTTCTTAAACGGCAGAAGGGGCCTGTCATCAAGATCAGTTTGTATCCTGCAGAACAACTAAGAATGCTATAGCCGAAAAACTACCTGAATTGTTTTTAACAAGTTCTGGAATAGGGAAACAATGTGACAGGAGAATGTCTGCAGCTTTTCAGTGGTGAGTACCTCGTGTGTGCTACAAACGAGAGCATATTTTTTATACTTTTAGAACTGATACTATTTAAACCTCATTTGTTGAAAAAAGAGAACTGAATAGTACAATACACTTCTCCTTAGTTCTAGCATTTGAGAAGCAGCAGCAAGACACTGCCATGAACAGCTGGAAGTGAAGGTGATTTGTGAATATACGCATTGCCTGAATGCTAATTTACTGGTAAAGAGGAAGGAGTGAGTGTAAATAGTACTATTGCATAAATGCAAGCTGTCTCTGAGATACAGTTGTGAGAAAAAGTTTGTGAACCCCTTGGAATTATCTGGATTTCTGCATGAATGGCTCCTAAAATGTGATCTGATCTTCATCTAAGTCATAATAATAAATAAAGACAGTCTTATTTAACAAACAACACACACAACATTTTACATTGCCATATCTTTATTGAACAAATGGTTTAATCAAACAAGGTAATTGATGGGAAAAATATGTGGACATCTTGAAAAGAGGGTAATTGGAGTCAGGTATTCCAATCAATGAGTCAGGTGTTCCAATCAATTCAGGTATGAGTTTAACCTGCCCTGCCATATAAAAAAATCACACAATTTTGGTTACCTGCTCTTCACAACAGAATTATGTTTAAGTGCAATATGGCTCGATCAAAAGAGATTTCAATGGACCTCAGAAGAAGAGTTTGTGAAGCCTGGGAAGGGTTACAAAAGGATATCTAAAGACTTGGGCCTCCATCAGGCCACAGTCAGGCACATAGTTTACAAATGGAAGAAATTCAGCACCGTTGCTACTCTCCCAGGAGTGGGTGTCCTACAAAGATCAGTACAAAGGCCCTACTAGGGCACAAGTGTCTAGGGGTAAAGGGGTGAAACATTTAGGGTAAGTTTTGGAAGCAGGTGAGTTCTGGTGAGGGACTAGGAAGCGCGATAGCAAGGGTCGGTGCAAAAGTGATGATCTTAAGTTGAATAAGTGACTGGATGTAATTGGAGACAATAACACACAGGGTAAAGGAACTAGAGTGGAGCCAAAGAAAAGAAAATAACAAACAAAATGGAGCTGGTTAAGAAAGTGAGGAAAAGCTAACCTGACTACAAAAGAAAACCCGAAACACACGGTCTTCGGTGTCTTCAACACCCTAGCTAACCTCCACTGACTACCCAAAACCATACAAGACAAACTGCACTCACCCGTACTAACTAGTGCTACTAATACAAAATCAACTAAGTGTGTAGAATGTACCCAACAACCTAAACTAACCCTATACACAAAAGTTCACACAAACACACAAGTGAACTAGGAATACAAATAAGGGAAAACGAGAGTTATCAACAGGAACAGGGTACAATAGAACACAAAAGTTGAACATATAACACGTTAGGGCAAGGTAATGGCAAAACAAGGATAAACACAAACAAACGAAAGTACAAGAAGACGAACAGATACCAGCAAAGCCACAAAGTCGAAGCTATACGAAAACACACACACAAAGCAAAACAACAAACCAACAAAGCCGAAGCAAAAGCGAAGTGAAGCGAAGTGAAGCGAAGCGAAGTGAAGCGAAGCGAAGCGAAGTGAAGCGATGCAAAAACCAAAGCCGAGCGGGACCAAAGTCAAACAAAAGGCCTCTTCCTTCTCAAAACCTCCATGTTACAGTATATACTGAATAAGATGCACTCTGATTGGTTGAGAAGCTGATTGAAAATGATGTCATACAGAAACAGTGGTGTAAATGATGGACCAATGGGGAGGGAGAACAATCAAAGTCAGAAGTGTGGAACATAACAACAAACACACATACTGTAGACCACACACTGGGACGTAACAGGCACGCCGTACAATCCTCAAACAGGTCACAGCTAGGGTGACAGCTAAGGATCTGCAGGCATCTCTTGCACTTGATAATGTCTGTTCATGAGTCTACCATAAGAAAAACACAGAACAAGAGTGGTGTTCATGGGTGGATACCATGGAGGAAACCACTGCTCTCCAAACCAAAAAAAAAACATTGCTGCCTGTCTCAAGTTTGCCAAAAACCACCGGGATGTTCCACAGCACTACTGGAACAATGTTCTGTGGACAGATGAGACAAAAGTTGAACTTTTTGTCACACCCTCTGCAGCTAGAGGGCGCTCCTACTGACCTTTTTTGTTTTGTTTCCTCACAGCTCTCCTATTCTAATCGAGGGATGCTTTTTCTGACTCCTGTGCCTGTGAGCGGGCTGCAGCCTGGCTTTCCTCGAGTTGTCTTTCTGGCATCCGTGATTGGATGTTGAGCTGACCCTCCTATCCTCATCGCTGGATATCACTCCGGTCATCCATGCCTGTGAGCATGTAAATGTACACAGCATTATGTTTGGAGAAAACAAAACACTGCATACCAACACCAAAACCTCATCTCACCTGTGAAGCATGGTGGAGGGAGTGTAATGGTGTGGGGCTGCTTTGCTGCCTCAGGGCCTGGACGGCTTGCAATCTTTAAGGGACCAATGAATTTCATTGAGGAAATTCTACAGCAGAATGTCAGGGTGTCTGTCTGTGATCTAAAAGAAGTTGGGTCATGCAACATGGCAATGATCCAAAACACACTGTATAAATGTTCTGACTGAAAATGGAGCTATGGAATAATTATGTGAACAAAGAAACCTTCACTTACACATATCACGTCAAATCATAATGTTTGGCATGAATAAGCACTTAATGTAGGAACTGCATATCTTAATATTCTACTTAGGCAGCATAGGTTTGTTGTATTAGTTTTAATTAAATACTGAATAAAGTCTGCAATCACACTTTTATCTGATAAATGGAAAACACTGTTTATTTTCAGATATTCAGGCTAATTAAATAAAACGTCAGTTGTTTCTTCTCAAGATATTCCCAGACTGTGCCAGCACTGCAATTCTTTCAAAGCTTCCCAATTTTACCATCTTAGAAATCAATCAAGGCTTGTAAGAGAAAAATTAGGTGCAACATGCGTGCTACAATTCAGGCACAACAATTTTGTGATTCTGATTGAGCACAAATCAGTCAACTGATTTCTAGACCGTTTCTGAAAACATGCTCCAAATGTTTAATGTATCAAAGCTTAATAGAGAATTGTCCTCCTGTGCATTTTAGATTGAGCGTATAATGAATAAACTGGATAATGGCAATGGAATATGGAAAATACCCACAATGGAAGTAAATCAAATGACCTGCAACACCTTTGCGAGCACCAAGGACCTCCCTCTCAATACATGATAGTTAAAGACTTTCAGCATTATCTCTTTGAAGGTGAATTCAATGCACTGTGAAATTTTCAGGTCCTAGTACTGTATGGAGCATTAAGAGAAACCACCTATTCATTATAAGTTAGGTTGTTAGTCTTAAGCACACTGCTTTGATGGGGTACACAGTCTAATGAATTCACCACTTCTGATGCTTCCTTCAGTATGTACACATAATGTAATTAAGGATTGTTAAGGACATTTTGGAAGATGTAAATATAACCGTTCTTCTGATGATGCCTTACTCTCCAGATTTAAGATCGTTGGTGGGAAAAGTTGGGTCAAGGTGTAGCGTCTAGGGCTCAGAGCCCAGTGAAAGGACACGGGCCTGTCCAGTCTGTACCAGAAGAACTGGCTCACAGACCAGTGAAAGATACAGGCCGGTCCAGTCTGTACAATAAGAATGGGTTCAGAGCCTAGCGAAAGACACAGGCCTGTCCAGTCTGTATAAGAATAACTGGCTCACAGAGCAGTGAAAGGACACAGGTCTGTCCAGTCTGTTGAAGAAGTGTGGGTGAGAATCTCAGAAGACCGCATCATTTTGTTAAAATTTTATATTTTGTCACATTGAAGCTTAGTTTGAAGCCTAAAGGAGAAGAAAGTGGAGAAGCAGAGATTACAGTAAGTGAGCAAACTAGGTCAGTCTCATATCTAACTCAAACATATCCCAAGTTTGCTTATCTGTCGCTATTATTTGTTCCGTGTTTGTACAGTGGTGTGAAAGTGCCTGCTCTTCGCTGATCCTGCAGATCTGAGGACTATAAAACCGTCTCTTTCTCCATATACAACACACTCCTCTCCCAGGGTTTCCTGATCACTCCACATGGCTCTCCTTGCTGTGCAGCTGTCCGCTTTCCTCGCCGTGGCGGTGCTCCGCGCCTCTGCTGGACCCGTGGCTCCGCCTCTGCCTGTGGACCCGAACAGCCAGGGGGTGTGGGGGGCGGCAGTTTACGCCACGGTTTACTACAACCTGCGCTCTGGGGACAAGTACATCTATAAAGTCACCGCCGTCCTCGACGTCCAGGTTCAGGTGAGCGTTTATGTAGATCATCTTCTAAAGATACAGCACTAAAGAACTAACGCGTTTCGCAAAATAAAAAATATCGTTCTTATTAAACTAAGAATTTGTAAAACGGTTCTTCACATGCGTTAAGGCGGAATTTTCAGGGTTAATAACACATGCAGATCGTATGCTCTAGAAAACTACTCTTTCAGATATACAGTATAAAAAAACCATTGGAACATAGTTATGAACACGAACAATAATTAAGGAACTCCCACGAAACTAATTGGAAATAAATGCTTCAAATATACCGATGTTACTATCAATTAAAAATCCTACCTCAATAGCAGTTATTGGAATTGTAACAATACCTGCGAGACATTTTAATTATGCTTAAAAGTGATGCAGAGAATATATTTTGTAACACTGCATGTTATTTTTTCGCTCAGATTGACGGGGGAATAAAATACACCATGGACGTGGAGCTGGGAAGGACTCGGTGCGAGAACGGGAAGACCCCTGACTTGGAATCCTGTGTCCTTTTCACCGCGCCTGGAGAAGCCAGGGTGAGGCCGATGAACCTGATAATGTCAATGATGCGTTTTTAGACCTGCGAGAGTACACTGAGCAAATTCAAGGCACACGTCAGGACACAGCAGGAGTAAATAGATATACATTTTTGGATATCTAATATTGAATGTTGTGACGGAACCCGTCATTTCTTACCAAGTTTCAAAGCAGTAGTGCGGAGCAGTCTTTCACTTTCGAGAGTCTGAACTGCTGGGTGCTGGATTCAAATCCCAGATAGGACACTGCAGAGGTACAGTATATTGTAACGCAACGGGGGCTCAGGCGGGCGCCCTTGCCGCATCAGGTCGGCCCCATCCCGACTGAGGCTCGAACCCGGGACTCCCGCGTCTCTCTGCAGCGACCCAGCCCCGTGAGTTAAAGAGTACCAGAGCAGGTGACGTCACCGCCCTTCCCTGTGATAGCAGGACTACAGCTACTGGGCTGTAGAGAGATCTCTCTTTAGCGCACGGGGCTGGGTCGCTGCAGAGAGATGCGGGAGTCCCGGGTTCGAGCCTCAGTCGGGATGGGGCCGACCTGATGCGGCAAGGAGCCCTGAGCCCCCGTTGCGTTACAATATACAGTACAGTATGAGGAAGATTACTGCGCTCAGATTGCTCCATTCAATGCCCAGGCCATCATTTTAAATGACAATGTATTGGCATATACAGTACATGTACAGTGTATCAGTGAATATGAAACAAGGCTTGCAATTCTGTCTTAACTATAGACACCGTGAATATATCTGAGAAAATAAAGACCATAATGTCCAACAGGTGCTTGAGCAGAGCAAAATGGTAACGCTGATCACCACGGCACCGAAACTCCCACTGTCACTGCGTTGTGTCCTTTTTATATATGGCGGGAGTGAGCGTGTGGGGTGGTCAATTTCTGGCTCACATCACCTGAGAAAGTCGGCCAATAAACCGCTGCACCATCTTGAATATGTCGGTGTGGTATCAGCGCGGCTAGGCCCCCCGTCTGTGCCAACGATGCAGCGCTAGACTGGATACAATGGCCGCGGCAATATACCGAGAAACAAAAAGAAAATGTGCGCTTGAATGTTGTTAAACAGCAGGACGTTTTGCAAAGCTTTCTTACTGCTGTGTGCACCTGGAGCCCATTTTCAGAATAGTCGCAAACCAACAACTTCCCTTTAGTGGTGAGGATTCTAGTAGGATGTCTTAAATCTTGTAGAATTACGCGCAGGCAATAAGGAGTGACAGCAAAACATTTCTGGTTTTAAAGGCTTTAAAATGTTGTAGTAGCGCATTCAAAAATCCCACAAAGCCCGTTTGTGTTTGACGAGAACATCTGTCTTTCAGAGCCTGAAGTGCCACTTCGTGGTTCTCTCCGACCCGCTTTTGGAGAAGCGACGGATCCTGGACAGTAGCTGCCAGCCAGTGTCCGAGTAGAAGACACAGAGAGCAGATCACGCTGTGAGCAACTTCAAGAAAGCCAGATTACAAAAAAAAAATGAATTTAGATATTTTTAAAGCTGTTTTCGAGACAATAGCTTTCCATGTCAATAACAAAAATGGTACTGGTACTGAAAATAAAAAAAGATTATTAGTCACACAAGGTGACCATTAAAATAAAGCTTTTTTGTTTAACTTTGTGTGCCCACTGCATAGTACTTTTCCTTGACAACTTTAAAAAGTGCTGTCGTGTTTTGTTCTGCCCTCTGGTTATCTGCAGAGCACACAGAGAACACAGTTGTTTTAGCATACTGTATGTTTCAGTTTTGGCTCTTTCTGTTAATATGACAGAAAAATCTTGTGAAGGTTTTCTCAAAATTGATGTAATTCTATTATTAAATATTAAAATACTTTTTTTGAATAATGCATGTACACTTGCTGCTTGTTGAAAGACCAAGACCAAGAATATCAGGAAAAACCTGTCATTCTTAAGTAATATACTGTAAGAATATTCATTAGTCACAGGTTGATGCTTCCTCAAAAATTAAATTACTTGTTTGTACACTTTGTGGGAACTACAAATGTCTCCCAAACACACATTTCCAAATGTCCACGCTTGAATGAACAAACTACAAAATCAGGTACATGTTTTGTTTTGTATTTGCAAAGTACCAAATACAATAGAAAAGAGCAAACTTAATCATTACTGGCTGCTAACAGCAACATGAATTTCCTGTTTTGATTTGGGAATACTGAAGCTAAGCAGGTGTGAGCCTGGTTAGTACCTGGATGGAGGAGCCCTACTAGGAAAAGCTAACGTTGCTGCTGGAAGAGGTGTTAGTGGGGCCAGCACTCACCCTGTGGTCTGTGTGGGTCCTAATGCCCCAGTATGGTGATGGGGACACTATACTGCATAAAGGCGCCGTCTTTCGGAGGAAACATAAAACCTAACTCTCTGTGGTCATTAAAAATCTCAGGGCATTTTTCGAAAAAAGTAGGGGTGTTACCCTGGTGTCCTGGCCAATTTTCCCCCTGGCCTCAAAAATCAAATCCTCCTAATAATCCCCATCTATGAACTGGCTTCATCACTGTGTTCTCCTTCCCACTGTTAGCTGTTGTGTGGTGAGTGTACAGGTGCACTATGGCTGCCGTCGCATCACATAGGGCTGCAGATTGGTGGTGGTGGAGGGGAGTCCCTCTAAAGAGCTTTGAGTGGAGTGTCCAGAAAAAGTTTTATACAAACGCAAAGATATTATAGGTCTCTAATGTCCAATTTTGTCATTTCTGTTGAGGGGACTGAAATAACTCATTTGTGGCCACAAGGGGTAGGTGTTGCACAATTCATAGGTGGAATTGAAATGTATCTGTAAATGCACTGATTTGAGTCAGTGCTGTGGCTGTGTTTTGAGGCAGGTTATTTTAATGACAAATTAAGTATCTGAATTTTTAAATAGTCCAGATTAAGAGTCAAATAACCTTAGTGTGATTTCAGCTGACGGCAGATTTGAAATAAAAGAGGAAAACTCTGCTTTAGAATTTATCTACTGAGTAAATGGCAACTTGGGCTGTCTTTCATGTGAGGAACAGAGTAACATAGATGAACATCAACCAATCCATTTTCTAATTCTCCAGTACAGGGTTGTGGGAGAGATAATGGACAGCAGGCAGGATAAACCCTGGGTAATACGCCAGTCCATTTCAAGGCATTCACACCCACTTGTGGGAGACAAGTTGAAGATATCAAGCAACCTAGTCAGAGTGGCTTTGGGTTTGCAAAAGGAAACCAGGAGAAATCAGAGCACCGGGTGAAAATCATGCAAACTCCACACAGAAGGTAACCCAGCATGCAACTAAACCTGGGACCTGATGCGAACTGCCACACCAGCATGGGGCCCATCCAAGGTCATATCACTGTGTACAGTATGGTAAGTGACAGTTAAATGCCTATATTGATCTAGTGTTGCTGAGGGCACCATTTCAGAACACATTTCTGTTTTTGAAAATGGCCAGATCACACTTTCAGCACTGTTAGTCTTTCAGGCACTTTAAAAGTCAATTTGTCTTTCATCTTATGGATGAAACTGTTAGTGATTATTAAAGTGGACAATCAATGATCTCTTGTGAAATTATTTTTTTTCTTAGACTTAGGATGCTTTCAGGCCTTTTTGATTAACAGGTAGACACTGGTTGTGCTGCCAACTGAACACTAGACATGAATAAACTGCTGTATCATTTGACTGGATGCAACAAAGTAAGATGGAGTTTGCCATGATCTATTAATGCACACTAATCCATTACTACTGTATTCTTTCAGTATTAATAATAATAATAATAATTGCTGGACACTCCACTCAAAGCACTTTACAGGTAATGGGGACTCCTCTCCACCACCACCAATGTGCAGCATCCACCTGGATGATGTGATGGATGACGTGCCATAGTGCACCAGAACGCTCACCACACATCAGCTATCAGTGGGAAGAAGAGCAGAGTAATGAAGCCAATTCATGATTGGTAAGGGCCAATGCAAAATTTGGCCAGGATGCTGGGGTTACACCCCTACTCTTTTTGAAAAACACCCTGGGATTTTTAATGACCTCAGAGAGTCAGGACCTTTGTTTTACATCTCATCTGAAGGACAGCACCTGTTTACAGTATAGCATCCCCATCACTATACTGGGGCAACAGGACCCACATGGACTGCAGGGTGAGCACCCCCTGCTGGCTCCACTAACACCTCTTCCAGCAGCAACCTTAGTTTTTCCCAGGAGGTCTCCCATCCAGGTACTGACCAGGCTCACACTTGCTGAGGTTCAGTGGGCTGCCAGTTGTGAGTTGCAGGGTGATACAGTTGGCCAACACCTTAAGCACCAGAGTCATGACAACAGATGACTCTGTTGTAAGAGTCACAACTGACCCAAAGGTATTAGTATTAATATATGAAGGAGTTGCATAAGGTGGGAAGGTATAACATACTGTATGTCTTCACAGACATAATGGCATTGAAAAATTGAATGTACTCCATTCAAATTATAACTGCATCTGTCATATTTATTGACTCTGTCTGTTCTAATTTAAAAACAAATCACATAGCACACCTTAGCCAGCTTAAAGGACAATAAACCCAAATTATTTGGCATTAAAAGGTTTAATGGTTTATACAAAAAACTAAAATACAGTCAAATGGTTGATTATATACCGGGGTAAGAAACATCTGTGCACACATTCTTGATTTTTAAAATACCTGGAAAAAGCTGATGAAAAAAATACAAGACACTTTAGCAGATACTGTAGAAACTATTTTAATTATGTTTTTGCAAATACGTCCAACTCACCTTGAAGTTAAATTATCATTTTTCAAATTAGGTGTAGGGTATATTAAAAAAGTGCTGCATTACAAATGTTCAAACGAAAAAAGCCAACTAACTTTATATTTACTAAAAGTACAAATGCAGCACCTGAGTATTGGACCCAATAACAACTGTTGCATTCAATTCCTTTGTGGTTGATGCTTTTTGGATATTGTGCAGCAAGTGACCTAGATCCACATTTAAGCAGAGAATGTCATATTATATATTACTGTCTTTATTCAATAATAATGAAGTGACATTCATGTTTTAGCTTCTTCTGAGTATCCTTGATGGGTATATTTTTTCACCTCTTAGGCAGAGAAATTAACATTTGATACTAATTTTGAGAGCTGTTGGCACATTCTGTTTTAAAGAGTTCATTGTGGGATTATAGAATTAAGCATGCTCAGCTCCATTAGAGCTCAATCCTTTACCTTCTGCTCCTGAATCTCATCTATAAGCATCAGCACTGTAGCTGGCAGGACTGGGTAACAAGAAACAGCTTCCACTCTTATTTCTAGCAATTTAGCTTAGCCAAGCACGTTATCTTTTCAGGGGTGTGAGGAAACCCGCCTACCCATAGAACAGCCATTATGATCTTGAGGAGATGATTGCTCATTCCAGTCGGAAGGCACCCCAGCCCTCAATCGTACCTAAAACACTAGAGTTATAATCCTGCAGTGCTAAGGACCCAGCTCAATTCTTCAGCATTCACCCATCTACTGTAGTATCAGATAGCTGTTACTTCCTGGTGAGACCAACTGCCAGGCTACAGTAGAGTCTATCCAGGAAGCATGGCACTGAAGACAGGACTGTTGGACTTCAGTCCATCGTAATGATCTACTATTGGTTTTAACATAATAGTGAGCAACTTCACTCTTTAAAAATAACTCCATAAGACTGATGGTGAAAGACACAGTAAAAATAAGAAATAAACAAAAAAACATACAAATTCTACATTGACAACATAACTGTGGATCAAAACAGCAAAAGTCTTAAATGCACCATTGAATGGGAAATGCTTTGCAAAGCAAATTCAGTAGAATCAGCCCTAGACTAAAATGCAGTGCAGACATGACATTATTCTAAAATATCCCACACATCTTAACAACTCCACACTGCCAATCGCCAAACCAAGAGACAGGTAAGGTCTTCCTCTGGAAGGGTGCCTGTGTGGCTGCAGTAGCTTAATATACAGTGTGCTGCCAAATTCATTGAGAAAATTGAAGAAGATAATGTATGTAATTGTCTAGAACTAAGGAAATAACCATCCCAAAAAGTAATATTACAGCTGTTTGTGTTTGAACACATAATACAATCACTTTCCGGTGTACTTCTGAACTCCCATAATAATTAAACTGTACAAGGCCTGGCTTAAATTAACTAACAACATTTTACTTTTTCATCCATCGTACTTGTTATACTGTAATACACATTTACACACCTGCTTGTTCAGTTAAAGGTAGCTGTATGGCATTTATCAATCAAAGACAGAGGATCCAAGATAACACTTAAAAATGCAGAATATTGCCGATAATAGATTTGTGAGATCTAAACTTTTGGCCTGTGACGTTCCCAGCCCCCAGGTGTACCTATAGGAATGTTGCAGTGAGTTCACAGAATGTTTCATTGCATGTGCCTCTTTTTCTGTACGGGGAAAAAACATGTGTTCGCTCTGGAGGCCGCCCTCGGAGGAATGGTTTCCCAGCAGTGTGGCGCTCTGGAGGTATCTGGAACACACAGTTGTCACAATAACATATTCTGCACGGCAGGTAGATCCAGCACGTGTCCAAGCCTGCTTTCATATCATTTTTGTCCCTTCAATGGGCAAAGGCACTCCCAAAATATCCTGACCAGTGACTGACTCAAGCCCCTGAGTCCTCAAAGCTCAGTCGCAAATTCCTGTGCCCCCTGAAGACTGTCAGCCCCTAACCCATAGTCTAGTCGCGGCCCAGGCCGCAGTGGCTCCCTGCTCACACGTAGTCGCTAAGCCGGTAGCCGCTGCTGGAGGCCGAGGAGCAGGAGGGGTTGTGGTTGGCCTTGTAGGCAGCCGGGGGCCGGCACGCGGGAGCCGGCCTCTGCATGCCGTTGTGGGCCCGGGCGTGGTAGGCAGCGGGGTTCCTGGTCTCCACACAGGACAGGCAGAGCAACAGGCCCCCCGTGATGGTGAGTCCGGCGGAGACGAACCCCACGTAGATGGCCTGTCCGATCTCGTACTTCATGCTGTTGGGCAGCAGGGGGCTGTAGAAGTCCCGGATGACGTCGTTGGTGGACCAGGACACGGGCACCAAGCACAACAGGCCCGCCACCACGAAAAGGGCGCCGCCGCCCACCGCCAGGGCGTTCTTGGCCGAGGAGCCGCGGGCGCAGCGCGTGCACTTCATGCCCACCGAGGAGAAGACGGCGGCCAAGGCGGACAGCACGCACGAGATGACCATCAGGGCGCGCGCTGCCTGCAGGTCCTGGGGCAGAGCCAGCAGGGAGCGGTGAATCTCACACTGGTAGATGCCGGTGCTGTGCCACGCGCACTCCATCCACAGGCCCTTCATGTAGGCGGTGGCCGTGATGATGTTGGAGCCCACGTAGGCCGTCCGGCGCCAGTGGGGCAGCACGGTGGCCACCAGCGTCCCGAACAGACCGAACAGGCCCAAGAAGAAACCCAGCAGCTGCACTGCCATGCTCGCCATTTTGCTTTGGGATTGTAATTCCCCCAAATTTACAACTCTATCCTTTTAAACTCACTGGCTGGGCTGCAGACATGGGGCTTCAGCTTTCTTGCTGATTTTTCCTTCTGTGCCCAGATGTGGATTCCATTGGCTCAGCCGCCCCTTGGACATCCAGGAATCGGGGCTCTCTGCTCGCTTGCTTTACTGACAGGCAAGACAGTGCTGAGCTGCTCCTGCTTGGTCTGTCTCTGAGGCTCTGTCACTGTGAGCCTGAGCAACGGCAGTCCTGAGGAAAAGAGTTAAACAGTCACTGAGTCGTGTCCAATGGGTTTCTCTCCAGCCTTCGTCACTGTAAAAAAACAATGTCTGGTGTATGATTGGAGCATTAAGAGGTTTCGGTGAATAACCCGAGGGCCTTTCATAGAGGGCAGTTTTTTATCTTTTGATTTGAAAACACATTATGGTTATTGCTGGAAAGATTACTTCCGATTGCTGAACTTTCTGGCTCGCACATCAATAGAAATTCTCAGTACCGAGTAAAAGAGTAGACACATCCAAATGTTCTCACTGTGAAGCTCAATAATTAACTCGAAACGGGCATTTAATGGGCTCATTCGCATTCAAGAAACCCTTTCAAATTGAAGAAAAGGTCAGATGAACCCCGGCTCTCACTGTTTCTTAAATCTCACACAGATCTGTCTCATGCAGGTGCAGTGGGACCCTACTGATCCTGTACTGAGTGAGTGGCGATATCTGGGACTGTCAGGGGCTGAAGAGCGAGAGAAATGAAACCAGATAATAGATGCTTAAGAGTTAAGTACAGAAACACTACTCATGCCAAGGAGTTTTTTCTAGGAACTCTGCTTAGATGTAAGTGGGAGGGTACAGCACAGCAAGGAGACAAGTCATTTTGTCAGTCAAGTGCTTGTCTGTCTTCCTTATATCATTTTTGAGAAAACCCTTTACATTTGTCCAGTTTTGGCAAACCTAAGGAGGAAAAAAAGGGTAGAATATGAAATCAGCAATGAAAAGCGAATTAAACATGACTTGTCCGTGAGGGTGAGGCAGAGGTCAGTCATTCAAAACTGCAGAAAGAAAACTCACGAGGGGTGGGGGGGTGGAGGGGATGTGCTAGGTTAATTAGGGCTTAAACGCTGTTTCAAAATGCACCCCCATGTTTCTGTTGATATTTAGACATCCTTTAACTTCTATTTACAGCACAAAATGGGCAATTAGAGCAGCCTAGGGCTCTTGGCGATGTCAAGTTTTCCAGGCTCCCCTCGTAAATACAGTTGAGTCTTTTTAACTGTGAAAGTGGTTAGACATTAACCCCACCTGGGTATTAACTATATTGTAGTATGAGTTGAGCTAAAACAATGCTCTACAAATTTTGAACTTTCATGTGATTTCATAAAGAATTATATCTATGAAGTACACCCCAACATCCTCTTTTTTTACATCACACTTTTTCTAGATTTGGTTGAATAGATGAACAGAGAAGCACGACATAACCAGAAATCTTTGCATGAGCTGGACAAATTCTACAGCCTTTCTATATTCATAAGTTATCATACACCACACAGTATGGATAAAAGGAAGAAAAATGAAGGATGATGCTTTTTGTAAGGTGAAATATTTAAAAAAACAAGTTGGTTTCCAGTGCCAACAGGGCCGGATTTAAGATTATTTCTGCTTTTTGACATGGTTCTTGGGCCCAGCGGCACCTGACAGATACGCTGTTCTCTGTTCCCAGGGGACAGGCAGGGAGAGGCGCTAGACAGATTCCCTCAGGATGAGTTTCATTAACAATATCAGACTCTGTCTACAAAAATAGCTGACCGCAAGGGTTTTGATGTGTAACAATGACAAGTTCCATTTTTCCTCTCCTTGGTGGACACTGTTCCTGCCTCTGAACAAATGTGGGTGTTTATTTTTATACAGCATCATGTATGTGTTTCTACCCTCACAGACCCAAATGGCTTACCAGTACAAGACTGATGGTTTCATTAAAAAGAGGTTAAAATGACACCATAGACAGTTACAATGTAATTGTTTATGAAACTGGGGCTGTAATACTTAATACAAAAGCAAAATATAGCTATAGGTTTTATATGTTAATATATAATTTTACAGAGAGTATGTACAATTAATAATAGTATAGTAGCAGTACTTTTTAAAAGTCAATCCATTTTACAATCCACATAGTGCCTCTGTGCTTGGCTGTTGTGCATTAGATTTATTGAACTGACAACCTGACCACTGATTCCTCTTCAGAAGGAGGGTAGGTACAGTACTGTGATCATCCCAGGTCTTAAAAAGTGCGACTGTTTTTGAAAGCTCTTTGAGGGTCTGCAGTTTTTGTTTAAGGCTTCCGATGTGTGAAGCATCATGCTTGCTACAGGCTGCTCAGAGATATCTTCGACCAAACATCGCTTTTAAAAAGCGTGGGGGCATTTGGGGTCAGTGAGAGTTTCCTATCATGCTTCTCTGCATTAAACAAGTGCTGTCACTCCTAACACTCATCATAAAGCAAGAGCACTGATTGACACTTGTCACGTCCTCTGAGGAAACAACAGTGAAGGTGATGGCTTGAGGCTTGTTCATTTTTATGCTTTATGTGCACCAAAGGTAAATAGAGAAATGGTTTTGCTGAAAAACAAATTTCATTACTTAAAGCGCCTTTTAAGATATACTTTTAAAGTTTTTATACTGCAATGTTGCCAACAATTTGTGATGGAAGAGAAAGAGATAATACTTTCTGAAAAGCTAATGATAACAGATTGTTGCTGCCTAGCAATTTGGATGGAGATTGCATTTGCATTTTTTTAAATTCCAGCCAGCAGCATTATCATTTTGTGACCCCATCTTGCTCGGTCTCAGGTGCAAGTGGTGTTGTTGGTCCAGTAGTTGGCACTTTTTCCACTTGACCAGATTGCCCCAGAATGGTGACAGGGGATAGTCTGCTATAGAAAGTGCTGTGTTTGATCTAACAGCTTATAAGAGTAGAGTTATCCTGGCTTATTAAATGGTTAATTAAAAACTATCATACTCTGGGCTTGCACAATCTGGACTCCATAAAGTCCCCTTGAGTTTATCAGATGAAATAACTTTTCACTCTTTCCCCTGATCTGTGCTGATGCAGAATGGGTGCCGTAAGTCTCGGAAGTTAGTCCTGCACTTCAGGAATGGGACCCCTACTGTAAAGTCTTTGGGAAATTTTGGGATGAAAAGCAATGTATAAATGCAGTTAGCAATATTTAAATAAAAAAAGCAAAGTACTATATTAGGCCTGCGATTCTACAGTGAATAGTGCCAGCCAGCATCCTGCTTTGATAAAAACAGGTATTTTACTGTTCTGCACCTTTGAAAAAAAAGCTTAAAGGAAAAAAAACAAGTACTCAAATGAGAAAAATCACCCTGAAGGTTTTTCCTGTACAAATCAGCTCTGTGATTATTTAATTGGTGTTAGAGAGAAAATATTGCTGTGTACTGTACCTTCTACAAAACTCAATTATCCAACATATTCAAACAAAATTTCATACTCTTTCATGTAATATCTATACAAATGAAAGATAACATAAAAAATAGGTTTTGCCTTACAGTATGTGTATGATTACATGCAATCACATTTAAATTATTAAATTAAGTTATTAAAGTGCAATCTATTTATGATGCAATTGTAAATATTTTATGTCGTCAATGTAACAAACATTTTGTGTCTTCCTAAATCTTGTAATATTTGTAAGAAAATATAAAAACATACAACAATTGAACAGTTCTGAAGTGTTGGTTGGTTCAGGTTATAGACTAGTAAATGTCAAAACTTTATCTTTTTAAAGCAAATGTATTAGGTCCCTCTTGCATAAACTATGCAATACATTTTCCTCATTTTGTTTAATGTAAAAGTTTAAATTTTGATCATCAAAAAGAAACAAATGTCATTTTAACTATAGTTTTGAAAGAATGAAAACATATTGTTTTTATCCACACATAAACAGATGGCACATTTTAATTTTCAACCCAGACAGTGTTACTCATCCTTCTCAAGCTTTTTCTTCTCAAAGGAATCGCGACAGGTTGTAAAGGATTCAAGGAGCAGTCTGTATCCTGATGACTCGTAAACACAGCCCCTTACCTGATGTGGCCTCTGAATCCAGTGTCTTATCAAAGCTGAGAGATCTGACACTTGTTCTGAACACAAGCAGTACATTTAGCCTTCTTGAAAACACTCAGTTTGAAGTGTTTATATCCATAAAGCCTTGCTCAGGTCCTCTGGCAGTCAGTCAATGAGTTTCACGATTAGCATGAAAACCACTACGATGTAGAAAACGTTCTGCTCCAGCTGCTGACCAGTTCAAACTTATTTTATTGTCAGAGGGGTGATAGCCTGTTGAGGACAGCAGCTGTTAGTCAGTGATGTTTCCGTTGCTGTCAAGAGTATCTGACACATTTGGCTCAATCGAGCTGTTAGTACACAGGGCCCTTGCTATTGACCCCAAGAGCATAATCTCTCTGACAGGCATAAGCAGGGAGAAGCATATTGCTCAGGGAAGCCTGTGCATTGGGCGACTGTGATTCTGTTTTAGAACTGGAGGTGGGTTGGTATAAACATTGCCTCTTTGGGGTTACGGCAATGTTAAATAGAAAAGACCTCTGTCTGTGCACGTTGACACACTTATTTGCCATTTTCCACAATACAGTGCTAAATTATTTGATGAGGAAATAAAAAGAATAGAAAATGTTGACTCCGCTGAAAGGGCAGCCCTGCCAAGCCAGCGACTGGTAGAAATCCTCATCTCAAATTGACAGAAAACCTGTGAGAAGTTTTGTGCTGAAATCAAATGAATTACAATGCTTGTGAGGGTCAACATTTAACCATTAAAAGGACAGATGTGAAAGAAGGAACTTGACAATGCCGGATAATGCCTTCAAGGAATGTGAGGGTGGCTCAATAAGTTGATGGAAAAGGGTCAGAACGTTTCCAGACCAAGGTGTCTGTCTCACTCTATCTGCCTTTTCTCTTTCGACTCCAGTGGGCTTTGCCCATCTCTGCTTCCACCCAGCAAAAACACCCCTTCAGGCAAGCCTGGACATTGGACATCATGTCCTCAGTCGACATTATATGAAAACCTTTGGACCTCAGACATGTGCCTTTCGGTTTCAAGACAAATAGGAACCACTGGTAACCAGGTCTGTATGACACAAATGGGTGAATCTAATGTTAAGAAGTGGCTTCTCAATTGGTGGCCTGAGCAACATGAGACAGGTGCTGTTTAGTTTAAAAAACAGCAGGACAGCCTTGATCAACCATTTTCCACACCTCCTGTTTGAAGGTCTGCCTCAGGTTTTTTCATAAAAATGGCATAAGACTCCAAATTAATACAATATTTGCATGGCATGCAGGCAGGCATCTTGAATCACAGAAGACTGTTGCCATGATCTTAAGATCACAAAAAAGTGACCCCAGGCCAGTGACAGATTTCTTCAGATTTCATGGAATTTGAGGTCTTGATTCCTTCTGTTGGAATGGATCATGAGCACGGAGGTTTCTAGGCACACATCTTACAAACCCAAAATACCCAAATACTTATGTATGACTGCCAAACTACTTTCAGGGAAAATGCATCCTCTCCTGTTTTCTCATCTGCCTGATATGGAGATTCATCATTATTAACACTGAGAACATCTGAGAAGGATTTATTATGGCATCTGGACTTGATATCATCTTTGAAAGGGCATGAATGTCATACCCTTGCTTAGACTCAGCTGACTGCTTTGTTTCTGTTGAGTATTCAGGGGAACCATCGCCATACATACTGTAACTACCATTTGATGATGGATTCTTCTGTAGGTTTTCTGCTGAACCCAATGGAGAACTCTGCTTGACCATCACTCAAGTAGCTCTCCCTCAAACCAATAGAAGGTAGAGAAAATGATCCCACCCCCATCTAACGCTGCCAACTGAGATATGAAAAAATAATCTTAAATTGTTATTTGACTTATTTACTTATATTGGTATTTTTTATTTATTCAGGTTAAAAATTTCCAGTCTTTTGTATTTTAAACTTACTGTACATTAATAAAGAAATTTACATGTTTGTTTTGACTCGACATTTTCATTCAAACAACAGTGACCTGTAGGAATTACTGTAATGTTTATATCTGTATGCAATTTAAGACATGACCTATGAAATGTCTTATTTTTAAAGCAATTGCTGGTATGGTTGTTCTGCAGTATATTGAGATTGCAGGTAGGGGATAAATTAAAATGTATCGCAAGACACAGTCAAAAGATTTGTGATACAGTCTTCATTCTGCATGCAGGCAGTCTGGCACCTTTTAACATCTATCCTTTATAAATCTGCTATTACTTCGGGGAACATTGCGTTGGTGCCTGATTTATTTAAAAGACAACCAACTCTACTTAGACTGGAATATTTTCAAGCTTTGGAACAAACCATTAATATGGAAATTCTAAAGCCTCTTGTTTCTGTCGAGGAATAGCTGGATAATATCCTCGAATCATCTGACTCCTAACTACAGTACCAAACAGACTAGATAGACTGGATGACTCCTCTCATTTGAAACCTTGTGTTCTCATTTTAATCCAATTTTTTAAAGTATTTGACAGATAAACAATAAACATAAATCCTAGGTTACATTATATATATAAAAAAAATATTTATTACTTTAATGTCCACATGGCATAACGGATAGATTTATGAACTATTATGCAAATGTTTCATCATATTTCAAAATATATTTGTTATCTGCCTTTTTCCCCAGGAAATTGAATTTCCCACTTTATGTCTATTTCTTTTGTAAGGCAGAGTTTTGCTTGGGGTCAGATGGACTTGGGGTTTCTGACCCTGCGCTCGACATATCCTACAGTACGGACCTCATCGAATTGGCTTTGTGTGACTGGAAGTTAAGTTCCATTTAGGTGCTGCAGGACCTGCATGATGACAAAGGGCAGTCGGTTCTGACTCTGTAAATTCAGAGCAAAGCTTGCAAACTCGTCGAGCTCGCTCGCTGCTGGTTCATAGCAGTAAAGATTAAACGGAACAGCTGTCCTTTGAAAATGTTATGGAGAACGATCTGATCCATTTTTTTTGTTAAAAGGTAGACTTCTAATCAAATCCAAACTTGGAATACACATCCAATGAAAATAGGATACCAAGAAAATGAAAATGACGCAAATGCCTGTTCACAAATGAGGCTGTGAGTGATATCCTTTATCACTTTCAGTGCAGTCCAGATGGGAAACATGGGTTACTGCAGTTGAGTGCTTGCTCAGTGGCTACTGTTCATCTGGCCTTAAAGACCCTTATCTAATGAAAGAAGCATTGTCTACTACGAGACATATGGAGCTTTTACTAAAGCTTATTGCTTATTAAAGCTTATTCCCTGCTGAGGCAAAGTGATATTATCCATGTACTGCATGCAGTATCCACCACCTTTTCCTCTTAAATGTATTTGCATCTTATATTTTTAAAATATTCGGTTTTGAACAATTTCTTTTTCATAGTCAGTAAGACAATTCTACCATCTTTCCATCTATAGATAAAATTAAACTTTAAAGCCTGCTTTAGAGTTACAGATAGGTTAAAGCATTTTCTGATTTCTCTTTTATATTTACTGTATATAGAATATTAATTATAACAGCAATAATACATAGGTTTACTCGATTTTGTAAATAGATTTTTCACTCTCAAAACCAGGTTCTTCAATATCACCTTTGTTTTTACATTCTAAACAATAAAAGTTTTAAAGGAGAAACTCTGAGCATTCATTTTCTTAATTTTATTAAAAGGATCATATAAAGCCTGGGTTCTTACAACAGCATTAATTCTTTTGAACCTTTCCTCTTTACCGCAAAGCATCTCTCAAATGCCAGTCTCAAAAAAGGAATTCATGCTGAGCTCTGTACCTTTGTGGCCTGCCTCCTGTAGCTGATCGATTCAAGCATCTGTTGTCTTCAGAAGAAAGATCAATCACTGTAGCCCTCTCCTGCCTCACATCATGATTGGGAATGCTGGTTTCAACACAACACATGAGACACAAATGGAACAAACCCCAGTCTGCTTAGAGCGAGTCGAAAGACAGTGTGGGTAACCCTAAAAGGATTACCTGGGATACCATTTGTGGTCGTAAGTCTTTAAATACTGTTAATAGCCTTAGTAAAAACAGCATAATCCATTTACAAGGTTATTTCATGTCGGTTTCAAAGCAGTGTCACACTGTTTCAGATAGAGGCTTCTACCAGGAGAAGAGGCAGGAGCTATATTCCTGTTGTGGTTCTCACATTGTGTTTCTCTCATAAGGTTTGATTGCTTTCATGAGGCCAGATTGAGACCCCTGAAATTCGTTGTCTGATTTCATTTTCATAACTTTCCCAAAACAGAAAATTCAACAATGTCTTGGATTTATGTCCAAGTAATGTCATCATAAACACGGCTGATTCAGGGCTGGAACTTGGGAATCCCCATGCTTTGATCAGCTCTCTGATGATGGCCACCCGCTACAGTGGTGGAGGGCCTTGAGTCTCTCCATAGCTATGTCATCAGGAGCCAGGCGCTCCTTGAGTCTCAGCTGGTTAACAGGTAAGAGACAAGGTCTTAGATGAAGAGTAATCCAAACCCAAAGCCATCATGATGGTTCAGGAAATGATCAAGAAAACCTCAGAAGAAACTGAGGTCCTGTGACCCACCCATGTCAACAGCTATGTGTAGATGTTAGTTGTGCTCACTTCCTGTGGGGTGGAGGATAAGAGATGGGTATGGTGCCAGGGTGGCAATGAGAGAGAGATAAGCCAATGAATTGGACTTTGGCAATGAAGACTGACTTCAGGGATGTGTGATGTCACTGTCGTGTTAGAACAGGTGGAGAGAATAGACATCAGGAGGTCTCAGCTCCACATGTAGCCATTGCTCTGGAGTCATACATCGTCTGTCTCAATTCCATGAGCCCCTCAGAAGAAGCCGTGGAGGTTGGGAGATTCTGGGGGTTTTGCGTGTGGAATTTGTCCTGTTGGACAAGGCTTGAGGTCTCAGACAGCAAAACTCTGACATCCCAGAGATACTGGGAAGGGCGAGGCCGGGAGGAACAGCCTCCGCAGTCTGAAGTGGTATGTTGTTATAGGACTGCTGTGTCAGTCAGACAGCATCCATAACCGGCTCTGTGTTTGACAGCAAGGTCTCCATCAGTGGACCTGGTGGTGTCAGAGGCTCAGATTGACTTCTTGGCCTTGTATGTTTGAACGCAATGCCATGTCTTACGGACATGTGAAAGAAGAGAAGGGTGCAGAAGTCAGTTGGAAACCTTTTCCTGAGCTGGGTCTGACTCACACAGGCATCATCATGTGACCTCAGGCACCTCCTATTTGTTTGATCACATCGTGGCTAAATCAGGGATGAATGCATGTTGATGTTTCAGAGATAAAAACAGGAATGCAAACCTGTTAAACAACCATTATATCCTCTTCTTAACTCTGTAGTCAGCTTTTCTCTTAACCGCTCGTCCATTAGAGTTGATTATGGCTGCTCAGAGACATGTGCTTCACAACCTGAAGTGTTGCATTGTTTTCGTTTTAGGTGTCTTGAGGGATGCTGTAAGCTCAGAAAGGTTCGAGAACTCCTGTTTTCAGCAATGGGTGCAATGTTAATTATGTATTTAATGTATTTGTGTATATGTATGCCAGTATTAGGCCATAGCTTCATTGATGTGCCTTTGTCTCAATAAGAATATGGAAAGGGGAGGCCGAATATGACCTGGAGGCCATAACTGACAAAATAAGGTAATATCACTGGTGTGCAGTGTATGATTAGTTTGTTTGCCTGCTCATAAGATTATGAAATGGGTGATTACCCATTTCTCTGCTGAATTGCTGTGTTTGAAATTCCTCATGTTAAAGCAGCCACTTCTGCCAATCACAGCCCATCATCTCAAAGATCAGAACATGAGGAACGATTAAAAGAGACAGATAAACCCACATTAAAACAATAAATAGAATTAAAAGCAGAACATTGCACATTTATTAATGAAGGTATTTTTTTTCCTGAATTATGATTTAATTTTGATTTGCCATGAAGTGACAAATCAACTAAATTACAATGAACTAAGAAGTTTTGCGGTACGAACGACTCAGCGAATTTCACAATTTCGGTCCAACCCTGATCGCCCTGAGCGTACTGTACGTTACAGCTTTTTTTGTGCGAAAGGATTTTTTAGAGACACTTGGATTGCAAACATTGTGGCAAGCTCTATTTTTCTGTTAACCCTTATTAACAAATGTAGCGTGCCGCGCAGGAAGCCCGGAAATGTTCTGTTCAATCACACTGCTGTTTTCCGAGGTGTGTCGTGGGTGTTGACGTCGCACTTGATTGCTCATCGGATTTTGTTTTTCTGCTGCTTTGCGTTAACTAGTCACGTACTGGGGTTTCTTACGCTTGACATTCTGTCAGTTATAAAAGAACTGTACTAAAAACCGCTTTGATATTAAATGGTGTGAACTATAAACATCAGACTTTCATGTGGACCCGTTGACCACAAAGAGCCCAGCCCGGACACATTTTTGTGGCCGCTACCAATGTGCAATAAAACCTTGAAAATCCACAAATGAGGGGCGTAGAAATGAAGTATTTTTGTAGACAGTTTGTATTTTAAAATCGGGTGTGGTTTATTCTTTCAGTTTGGTTACTGCTGTCAAACAGGGCGAGACATGGGGTATCAAGTTGTCTCGTGGCACCCCCGTGAGACCGGGACGCGAGCGCAGGCAGAGCGAGACGGAACCGGACCGGCTTTCGCGGGCAGGGAGCGAGGGGCTCGCGCCTCCTCTGGCTGCGGACCCGCGGGGACTGACGCGCCACAGCGGCGAGCCGACACGTTTGACGCGTAAGTCCGTTTTTCACTTTGGGGGTTCCCTGTCTCTCTCAACTACTCCCCCTCACCACCTCCTCCATGGTCCTGGGGCTTTGGGGGGCACTAGAGAGTGGAACCTGGGAGTTCCCGGCTTGTTTCGAAAACCCGTTGGGTGGGGAGCCGAACTGCCCTCAGAGTGAAAACGGTCCAGCGTGTGTGTCTCGGAGACGTGGGCTCGTTTTCACCGACACCTCGGCGTCCTCATGTCTTCCTGCAGAGCTCCAGAGACGGGGTTCAGGCACGGGTTCGCCTTGGAACGTCCTGGAACGCGTCCCCGAACCGAGCTCGGAGCGGGTTCGGAACCGCGCGGCCGGACTCGTTGTCCGAGATCTGCACTCTGCGGGGGAAAGAAACTGCTGAGTCACGGTCCGCGATTCAGTCGCACGGGTCGGGTTTTATTCTATTAGATCGATCTCCGCTGCCCGTTGAGAATGATAACACAACACCAGCCATATTGATAAGAGTCATGGAAATGGAAGTGTTTAAAAATTCTTTATCAAATCTCCGGTCAGGTCCAGAGCGCTTTGTGGTGTCTAGTGCACTTGTTCCCAGTCAGGCAATCAACCAACCTACCACTTAGTCAGCCAATCAATCAATCAATCAGCCAGGTCCTGCGACACCACTGTCTCTTCTGCCTTTTACTCCAGCTAAGTTTCTGATCACAGGCAAGTTGATTTCCATTGTTTTTTCATCTCTTAAGAAGCTGATCTACGGGTTGATCCTACTTGGTATCAACGGCCCTTGTTCAGGTGTGTTACTGAACACAACATGTTGGAACTTAAACAGAAGGGAGAATCAGGAGTGTTCAGCACATTGTCATTCTCACCTGTGTCTGTCACCTAGTAAAAGCTTTTTAGTGAGAAAGGAGGATTATTTCAGTTGCACATTGTGTTTATTACTCAAATATAAAAATTGAGTAATGGAAACAACAACAAGCCTTTGCATTCACTGATTTCACACCAATGCCAGTCCGCTGGCTCAAATATTATTCAAAACACATGTGAAACAATTCCTCATCTCCCTTAGCTTGGCGTCCCGCACAGTACAATAACTCTTATTAGACAATCATGGAGACACAACAGAGAGTGTGAGACCGATAGTGATAAAATAGCAGACGTACTAACAAGCGACTCCCGTTGGAGGACGGCTCCCTGGATTAATGGTTCATCTGAAGTGAGAGTGATGACTATGTATCCAGCAGGTCTGTTCTGTGGAGGTGCGTCAGGGTGCACAGCGATGGAGGAGAGAGCCAGGTGCCCCTCGGGGAAGCCAGCGCAGAAGAGCCGGCACCAGATGAGCCGGTGTAGCGTCAGCACGAGAAGTCAGAGCAGGTCCACCTGGGGGCTGTTCAAAGGCATGCCTGCTGAGGTCTTCGATATGGTTCTGGAGCACCTGTCCGGTAAGCGCTGGCATTGTCTGGGCTTTGGCAGCAGTATAGGGGCAGGGCTGCCTTTCCTGTGAATGTCCCGGCGGCTCTGTGGCCCCCTGACCTGCCCTTAGCACAGAATGTCATCAACAAGATTGACATCAACAAGAAAAGGATGCTGGAAATGGCACCTCACACTTCATGTAGCCTTGCAGACGAACACTTTATTTTCTCCAAATATTCCTGGCCAGTTTATTTCAGGACCTGTTACTGGAGAATTTTTTATTCTATTCACTGTCAACCGCCACCTGTCCATTGGCACAAAGGTGCTTATTCCTGCTGAGCGTCAGTGCAAATAGGGGTTCGTCTTGAGCACAGGGCATCGCTACGCCCAAACACACATGCACAGAGAAGAGACAGAAGAGACAGCAGTTCACCCAGCCTTCTCTGCAAGGTGGGAGGAAGCCAGACCCCCTGGAAGATCTCACATGAGCACACAATCGCCAGGCCACTGTTCTCAACAAACAATGTTATAACAAAAACTTCCTGAGTTCTCATAAATTGCCATTTCTTAGTTGTGACTTGAAATAAGAACTAACCTAAGAGAGAACTCTTCTTAAAAAGAAATGTTTTCAGCTTCTGGAGAATTGTTTTTTATTTCCATCAGGAGACTCAAACAGTCACCGGAATGCCTGGTGTTTCCTGGATTTTATTCTGGCCAGATTAGTGAATTAAACATTCAACCCAATGAGTTTCTTAGTCAGACACATACAGTATATATCTTGTACAATGCAAAATGGGCATGTCATATAAGGTCAAGTTACTTTTAACACTCCTCTGAGCCTGGGAAGAAGAATGATAATTACCCTGTTCATTAAATAATTAGACTCACTATAGAACAAAGAGCTCTGGTGGCACAAATCCCAGGAAGACTCCCTGAGAACTCAGTTTCAGATCTCCTAACTTAAATAGTTTGATCTGGGAGGCTGTAGTTCTTAGGAAGGTTAAAGGTCTATGACACCAGACCTGAGTAGTCCTCTTCACTGGTGTTATTTTGTGTTCCTTGTCTTTCCCCAGTGAAGGAGATGAGTGTTTTCAGTATGGTATCCAAAGCCATAAGCAGTCACATTGCGGGTTATGTGTCCACGAAGGCGTGGAGAAGAAGAATGATCCTGCAGAAATTCCACCACCCAGTGCACAAAGAGTGCGTGTTGGAGCACTACAGGTCTCTTGGTAAGCAAGAGAGAATTTACACTGACCTTCTCCCAGTTCTCTCCTTCTGATGGGATGTTAGTCAGTGAACTGTCTGAAAATCAGCCTGTTTTTGAGCTACAGAAGACATCCGATCACCTGCTGGGATTCTGCTAGTTTCTTAACCCAACTTCAGCCCAGATAGAGAGGGGCCTGGTGCCTGAGGTAAAGAAGAGGCTGTAATAATTAGTGAAAGAGTCTGATACCATCGTTTAACTGCCACATCTTTCATTTTAATTCACAGACATGTTTTTTCTTCTTGTTACAGGTTTGTTGTTCAAGCGATGTACTTTGTTACTACCAACCAAGGAAAGATTGAAGTTCATTTACAGCAAGCTTTCCGAGGTAATTAAATTAACCTCTGGAAACAGATATGGCAGTACACACTGTGTGTTATTTAAGAGTTTAATATCTTTCAAGCCTCAATCTTGTTTACAAGAATTATTCTGCTGTAGTGTAAGCATAATTAATCTTGTACTAAGATGGTAAGGAGGCATCTCCATACTATTCATTATAGGTTGCAGTTCTAAGAGTAAATAATAAATAATTTATTTTGATAAAAAAAAAACAATAAATGTGTTAAATTGAACATATTTAACCATTGTTTTCAAACATACATTTATTAGAATTCAAATTTGATGTTATGCTGGAAGGAAGAATATTGCTTTCATATTCCTTGCCATCATTTAATTTGGTATCAGATCCCCTTCTCTGGGTTGGCCATGCGTTACTGAATCTTCAGCTCTGCTAAGGATGATCTCCCCCACGTGTGCATGTACTGTATCACCTGCAATTCCAGGATTGTCACACCTTGTGTGCGTACAGTATACTGTATCACCAAGCAATGGTTATTTCCAGGCTGAAAAATAGAAAGAAGAAACATTTTGGCTGTTGAGCCTCTGTCATGTGACATTTTCAGTGCATAATTCAACTTTACTTCTTTCTTATCATGTCAAATGTCATAATAAACTTTTCTTTTTCTTTTCAGGTTCCCTGTTTTGAGATTAATAAATGCACAGTCACTCCTGGATGCTTAGGGTTTGCAAGCTATGGGGTGTTTTTACAGGTGATTGAGTGAGTGCTGCTCGTGAATTCATCATTGACAACACAGGACGCATTTTTATCATAAACCTAGGGTTTTTGGGATGTAAAGTCAAGGACAGTATTTCTCTCTGGTACTACTGATCAGCTGTCTGCTCTGCTTTCTCGTGTTCCCCATTATCTGAAGTGTCCCTGTGTACTGTGTCTTATTTTTTTAATAGACATTGATAGCTGGCTGGGATGAACTTGAATGTCACCGCGTCTTCAGCTTTCTGTGCAATTACACCAGTCTGCCTCGCAAGCTGAGGGCAGCGGTAATGGGCCTGCCAGGTATGTGACTGGTGGAGAGTGGTGTATTAAGTCTTATTGTCATTAAATTAAAAACATAAATTGAATCCAGATTAAGTTAGTAACTTAAACTTAAAGTTAGTAACTAGTAACTGACTGGGGTGCTTTACCTGGTAGACAAAATACAGAAGAAGGTCACTTGACCCATCTTGCCTGTTGGGTAAATTAGTAGTTAATTTAACTGAGGGTCTCATCCAGCTGTCTTGAAAGAAGCCAGGGTATGGGCTTCAACAAGGTGGATGTGTAGCTTGTTAAACGCTCCCACAGTCCTCTTTACCCAAATTGAAAACAAAAGGCTTGGGGTCTGTTTGGTTTTAGAATTTCCAAATAATGGTTTGTTTCAAAGCTTGAAAAAATTCCAATCCAAGTAGAGTTGGTTGGCTTCTAAATAAATCAGGCCATAATGTAATTTTCCTTAAACTAACAGCAGATGTATAAAGAATACATATTAAAAGGTGCCAGACTGTCAGGCAATGAAGGCTGTATCCCAAATGTTTTGACTGTGTCCTGTGATATGTGTGATATGTACTGTATTTTAATTTATCCACTGTCTGTAAACATAAAACATTTCTGAAAGTCATTTCTATAAAGGTTAAAATATTATGGTAATTCCTACAGTTTGCAGTTTGAATTAAAATGTCAAGTCAAAAAAACTTAAACATTTCTTTATGAATGTAAGTTTAGGAAATGGATAAACAAAATAGGAAAGACGGTAGGAATTGTTCATGTGCAGGAATTAACAATACCAATATAAGTTAATCATGTTCGGGGAACATTTTTTTAAATCTTATAATTTTTTACATCTCAGCCTAAGATATGCCTAAGAAAGGGGAGAGGGTAATTTTCCCTTCCTTTTATTGGCTGAGGGACAGCTGCTTGAGTGTTGGTCAGACTGAGTTCTCCTTCAGGTTCATGATCAGTGAAGGCAAAAGACCCACTGTACAGAAGAAACCGTCATCGGCTGGTGGTTGTGTGTGGTGATGGAGCCCCTGAATACTCAACAGAAACAAAGCAGTCAGCAGTGTAACAAATTGCTCCCGCTTCTCTTTTTTCTTCACACTGGTTTCTACTCGTGTCGAAGGTCCCGCTATTACATGCACCTGAGTGGGCACTCTAGGCAGCCATTGCTGCAGCAGGGCAGAATTGGCAGATGTGCGGTGTCAATATGTGGCGTATGCTATGGGCTGTCTTCACCTCCTGCACACAGGCGCAGCTCCGGACCTGGAGGTGCAGATCCGTCTGTTCTGCAGGAGTGTGCTGCTGGACTGGTGGCGGGACCAGGCGGACAGGCTGTTCTGGCTGACCCGCCTGCTGCAGCCTTGGCCCTTTGTCTCTCAAGCCCGGCTGCTCTTCATCTTCTACGGGCCTCTCTCCCAGGATGGTACACCGAGCCGCTCATTGCAGTCTTCCTCCCTTTTCCTAGTAGTTTGTGGCTGTTCTCTGTTGTTGATGAACATCCTCATGATCTGCTACGTCTGAAGTATTGAAGAAGTCCTTGAGATTGTCATAGTCATTTCTTAGTTATTTTTATTAAAAGCTATAGAGCATGGATTCCCCCTCAAGCAGTGGTGCTCATCACAGACCATAAGGGAAGGCTGAGTGCAGGGATTAGTCTTGTCAGAGCTGTCTCTCTGTCAGCTGTCAAATCTGTGTCCTCTACTGCTTCCTGGATGCCTGTCAACATGCAGTTGAGCGAGGGACGCACAGCTCCTCTAACCCTTTTGTAAGGCACCGTGCGGCTTGCAGGTTGTCTAAAGACAAATTGCTTTAATGGGTGGGTGGTATCTGGGTATCCGAGATCCTGCTCTGCCAGCCCTTTCTCCCTCTGCAGGACAGATGATGTTGCTGCGATGCACGATGCAGGGAAACTATTGGCAATCTCAAATTGGGAGGCTATAAGAAAGTCAGTATTTTTGCTACCTCCTTTAATGTTTGTCACACATTAAAAAAAAACTAACGTCACAGTTGATCTGATTGAAACATGATGTATTTTCTGTTTCCCAGGCAAAATTGAGTGGGAGAAGATGACAGAAAACGTAGTGCCCGAATGCGATTTGTGGGATCTGGCAAAAATAATCCGAATGCTCTTTAGTGAGTCGGAGGCAAAGGAGTGGACTGCTGACAGTGTCATCAGTATCCTCGATGAGATATCAGGTACTTCTGTAGTTTAATTTGCAAAGATGAGGATGAACCAGTGTCTTTTAAAGATAAAGTAGAATTTGAAATAGTACAGTTTCCCTTTCTGTTGTTCATGGTTTTTATTCTCAGGGTTATAGCAATCCCTGCTTAGAATGATGGAAAATTAACAGACCCTTCAGACATGAAGCTTTTTTAATGGAGGTCTAGCGAAAGTTTGTGAAGGATGAAGGCAGCCAACCTAAGCTCAGCTGACGCAGGTCGCAACTAATCCAGACGTAATTGCCTCAGTTCCCACATACAGTGTACCACATGTCACCCTCTCCTCTTCCTCGTTCGTTTGTGCATCCCTCCTCCCATCTCCACCCTTGCAGATACCCCTTGGTCGCCTTTTCACCAAGCATGGGGGTCCTAGACTCCCAGTCCTATGGGGGTTAAGCCAAAGTTTTCACTAAATACATAAATGATTCTACACAAATACCAGCTGCTGTCATTCCTTGTGAAACCTGTAAGAAGAAGGTACTGTACATTGTTTCCAGCCATCAGCGGGTTGATTGTGTTTTCCAGCCTCGCCCCAGTTCTGGCTCAGGGAGAATTTGGCTCGCCTGCTCATTCTCTGTGGGAACCGCGTCTGCTTTAACTTCATGGCCAGCAAGGCTTTGAATGGGCGGGTGATGGAAATCTCAAGGCTTTTAGTTTTTCTGATTCTGGTGAGTTCCCTTGCTTCTGTTTTGCAGCTGCAGTACCTCGTGTTGTTTTCCTGTGCTACAAAGGACGTAATGATTTGCTCACTTGGTTTCTGCAGAACTGTCAACTTAAAGGCCTGATTTCTGATGCAGAGATTTAGAGATGTTTCGAAGGCATTTGATTTTAAAGTCATATGGAGCCTGGTTGTGACACTTTAAGAAAATGTCATGAGTCAGGTTTCTATATGTGGGAAATTAAAACCTCCAGATTGTAAATCTTTGCAGCAGAATGAAAAAATGTTATCAAATGAAAACCAGCTACTGTACAGACATAATTTCTAATATATTGTTTGTCAATAAAAATTGGTTTGTAACTTTTTTAATGGATTACATGGTACCTGAGTGGAATACAATGGATTTTATCATACTTTTTAGTGTGTTTGAACTTCAAAATGAAATTATGTTGTGTAGAAACTCTTGAATATCCTTATCAGATGGTACTTTAAGTTATACTGGGGATGTTGTTGTGAATTACGCTGGAAGAAGTTTTAATAGAAATTAAAAAGCCCTCAGTGACACTGATTTATTCTGTTGTTGGACATATAATTTATTTTAAAGTTATCCATTATTTTATAGAAAAAAACAAGTAGGGAACAATATAATGGTGTAGAAACACCTTTGGTTTCTGATTTATTTCCTTTTAACACCATTCCAAAAAACTTACTAATATAATTAAAGTGGTGTTAATGTTAAATAGTTCTGATAAGTGAAACAATGGGCCTTGGAAATTTAAAAAACTGCATGTATTAACTAGCATGAAACACAATGAGGTTTCATCAGGCTGGAAGAAGGACTGTATTTTATTTCCTTCCAGGGGAAAGTGGGTCAGGCAGGTAGAGTGGAGGATTGTATAGTGTCATCGCTTCTTTGCTATTTCAATTGCCATACACCAGCACACAAAGCACCTTGTTCCTGAGCTGACAGCAGCAGCATGGTGTCTGAAAACAACTGGGCTGCTCACACCGTATACATTTAATGTTTATGATAATGAGTTTACAGTGGAACAACAGCAGAGGAGTCCGGTCTCATCTGCTCTAATGCATTATTGTTCCTGATTTCCAAGTGAGCCTTTGCTGCTTCACATGACTGTCCTGCATCCATCCTCCACCCCATCTCCACTCACCCATGCAGCTGCCCCTGGGTTGGGAGGGGTCTCTTCTCTCTCTGCATGGGGCTCTGCCCCCTTCTCCTATGACCAGGGGGTTCAGCCAAATCTTGCTGTGACTTAGCACTCAGTAAACATTTTTCAAGACCTTCAAATCTTCCATGTTGTTATTCATCATGAAATGTCAGATTCATTGTCACTGTGGTGGTGGTGTTAGAAGTGACGTACAGCCTTTCTGTGACCTCGGGTACAGAGCCAGGTCAGATTTTGCTGAACAGATTTTGGTGTCTGAAGCCAAGAAATCCCAGAATCTGTCTTCATTTCTTTCAGGTGTGTGAAAAGGACAACTATTACATGAACTGGAGCGTAAAGATGGCGTTACAGATCGGCAGGTTGTTCCCTGAAAGGCGGTCTTTCATTCAGAATATCGAGACTGCGTTTTCACAGGTGGCTATGGAGATGTGTGAAACGCTAATGGCTGGTGAGGAGTGGGGGGTGGGGTGGGGGGCGCGTGGTTAGGTAGGGGTTTGCGGACGCCTGACAATGCATCACAGTTTCAACATTTTTCCTTGTTTAATCTCATGAGGAATTACATTTATTAAATTCCTTTACAGTGCATTGGGTCTTGACAAGATGAAGTTGCTTGAAAAAAGTATAAATCACATCTGACAGGGGAATCATGATGCAGGGTGACTCAGCCTTGGATGTTTCATACACCAGAATGTTGTGATGAAGATCAAGAGAAAATGCTGAAACATCTACATGACCATTTTGTCTTATGCAACACTTTCAATATGCAGTTTTGTTTTTAATTTGAAGAGCATCTTATGGACAAGAGCATTAACTAAATAACAAACAAATACTTTTCACTATAACAAATCTGAACTTCTGAGTCATTTAAAAGTGCACTTGAAGCTGATAAATTACATCTTGTTAAAGCAAAAAATGTTAAAGCAAACTAATGTGTCAGTTATCATTTAATTGCAAAGACACTTGCATTCTAAATCAGCTCTCATTCACATAAACATCTAAGTGGAAAGAAATTGATATGTATAATTATTAAAGGTATTAAAACCTTTCTTTGAATATGAATTTGATATCTTAAATTAAGATAAAAGTATCTAAAACTGCCTGCTGAGTAAGAACCCAGAGGACTACGTCAGGCCCAGCAGCGAAACTAAGGAATGAACACGGGTACACTTTGAGGAAGTACAGTTAGGACTATAATCAAGAAGCACTATACACAAAGGGTGGTCATGGCCTGGAACAAATCACCTAACCATGTTGTTGAAACTAGTTCCCTGTGGCCCTTAAAGAAAAAGAGCTAGACGATATCATCGAGTCAATATGGTGTGCTACAAACCAAACAAGCAAGGTGGACCAACTGGCCTCTAATTTGTGTTTTAGTGTTAGCTTTTTTTAACAACCGTCACATTTTTTTTCTTCTGCCTAGGTGGCCAAAATGCTGATCCCAACTTGATTCATAACCTGTGCAGTATTCTGAACGCAAATGCTCATTTCCATACCGAAATGCTATGCATGTTCATCAAAGAGGTTTGAAGAAGCTCCTGAATAGACAAGACTCTCTCCTGAGAAAGATCAGGGGTCGCTGTACTCCAAGGAAGTAGAAATATAGCACTGAACTTTCATTTGACAGCTTCATGCATCACATTTAATGTTCTCTATATTATCATATAATATAGATTGAGATATATTACTATATTATCCCATATGAATTTAAGGCAGCACTTCAGTATCTGATCCCATTTCTACCAGAATGTGGAATCACCTGAATCCCATAAACTTCAAGATAGTTTATGGACATTTCACATTTTGTCTTCAGCATGGATCTGATCTATATGATATATTTAACATTGTTTTGTGTCTTTTACCAGCACTACAATATTCTGTTACTTTCAATATATAGTAGTTTCTAAAATGTGTAGAGTGAAATAGCTTTTTGGTAAAACGTGCTGCCAGTTATCTAATCAAAATCCTAAGGTTAAGACTGTAAGTGAATATTTTTCCAGACTGTTCCAAACATGTCTCTTCTGTTGTATAAGGAGCATATAGACCCAGGGTTTAACTTGTAAATAAACAAGTAGTTACAGTAGTTAATCTGGGAATCTCAGGTATTTTGTCTAATATTTATATAAAGTGAAAATGGAGCATTGTTCCAAATAAAATATATATGTTAAATTTTGATCAGTATTCCAGTCAATACTTTCATGCTTTGTGGGTTTTTATGAACTGTTAGCACATCATTACACAAAGAGGCGTGGGAGTCTGGAACAAGCTTCCCAGCCTTACTGTTTAACTCAGACTCTTGACACTTGTAAGGAATTCAGGTTCTTCACACCTGAAGAAGGCTCCACGGCGGAAACGTTGTGTTTCCTTTCTTCTTTTTTTCAGCATGGAATAAATCTATTACTTGTTCACTTGAAAGAAATACCTAGATGAGATCCTTTAAATAAATAAAACTTCTGCTACTCAAATGAGCCGGTCTCTCACTGAACCATTTCAATGTCCCAGTTCACTCAAAACTGTGGAGTTGTGCTTTATCATTCTACATAAGATAGCATCCTAAAACCCAGTTATGGCTCTGAGGCACCATTGTAATTGGTTGTAATTTTACTGTCCAACTGTGCTCAAAAGAAGTTTTGTTTAAGAAAATATGGCAGAAGATGCCTCTGGCTGTGGCAGTGCTTCCTTGCCTGCAATGAAACTCTCAGCAGGTGAATGACACCGCTTTTTGGATCTCACTAAACAGGAGAGCCGATTTTATCAGATTTTACTACAACCCCTTAACAACACTTTTATCAAGCCCCTAACTGGGACATCTTTGCTGTATTTAGTTTGTCATTCTTAGTCTAGAAGCCCCTTATACACTTGTACTTCACAAGACTGCACCATGAGCTACAACTCCCTATGTGTCCTTATAAAGGGAAGGCAAGGGCGGAACCGTCTCCTATTCCACAGCTGAGCAGCATCACGCCTGATCTCTAATAAGATGCAGGCACGGGCTTTCACATTCCTGAACATGGACTCCTTCTGCCATCTAGCGAGCGTGTTTGGAACTACACAACATGTTTTCTCACTTGAATCGAACTATCACGGTCTAAACTGGAATAGTAACCTCTGCCCTCTCCAATCTTTGTGTTTGTGTTTGTGTTGAGCTGCGGTTGTGTGAATTATTGCAGCATGCTCCAATAATTGGCCCAAGATCAACTGCAGTTTAAAAATATTGTGACTTATATTCAACAGGAGACGGCGCACAGCATTTTTTTGGGGGGGAGGGAGAGAATCAAGTCTTCGATTGAGTCACAGGTGTATCCTATTATGAAATAAATGTATTAAAGAAATAAAAACTGGTTTGGAAAAAGGAGAATACAAGATTCATTATGAATATATAAGATATCAAATTTTAATAGACCCAAGTGTGTTTTAAAGATGATTAACAAACCTACAGGTAGGAGCTACACCTTACGTTCAACACTACTTTCTTGACACTTTCATTGACAACGCCATTTTATATACAGGAACAAGTAATGGGTTTATTCCATGCTGAGAAAAAGAAGAAAGAAAACACGTTTCGGCCGTGGCGCCTTCTTCAGGTGTGTTGTTTTTCGGCCTTCTGGTGATTTCAACATTTATTTCCCCACATTGATTCATCTTGTAAAGGCTTTACCAGAAAAATCTACAGCAGAAAGCTTTCACAGCAGTAAAATGCGTGAATTTTGAGCTCGGTAAGGCATGATAGTCAAGATCTATTAGTGCTTTTATTCTCTATTTTTAAAACCAGAATTTACATTTAAATTTGATTAAGTTCCTCTGCTAGCAGTATTATGTCTTCTGCAGTTTAAACTTTAGAAAAAAAAGAGCAAGCTCCAAAAGTCACATTTGTTTCACATATAATTTTGGCATATTTGCCGTTTGATGTTATTGAGCTTTCCCCCTATCATGAATTTGTCATCAAACGTCTGTGTGGTAATTAGGATATATCAGGTAGACATTTAGGT